TCATTTTATAGTGTATTTTGATTTGATTTGATTTATTCATTTCTTCTTGATTTTCTTTTTCTTTTGCATTTTTACAAATATATAACAAACAAAATTTTGCGAATTTTACACATTTCAAAAGAATATAATGTCGAATAAAGTAACTTATCGAAAACATCAAACAGGAGGGTTGACAAAGTAAGCAAAGCTTGATAGCATGACTACCCTCAATGGATACATAATATAATACGAATATGGTGGAACAAAATATTGGTAAAAGGGGAAAGAGAGAGAGAGAAAAGAAGAAAAAAGAAAGACGGAGTGTACATCAAAATTCACAGATTTATGTGGTACAATGTAGTTGGATTTTAATTTGATATATGAAGATAATATGTTATATTATATTATATCATACATTATATTATATCATTTTGTATTATATATTACATTATGCTGTATTATGTTACATTGTGTTATATTTATTATATTATGTTATATTATACTACATTATATTATATTATACAATATCATATTATGTTGTATTATATTATATGATATAATATGATATTATATCATAATTGTATTAATACATATTACATCATATTATATGGTATAATATTGTATGAATATAATATTGTATAAATTTCATATCAATAACATATCAACGATGTTATTGTAGATACCATAATTATGCATATCAGCATCGTTATCAATATTGTACATATTTTAAAGAGAATGGTTCGGGAATTGCAATTAAAAATTATATACTAAACAAACCAAATTCTCTCAAAATGTATCCATTAAAAAAAATCTCTCTCTCTCCCTCTCTCTCTCTCTCTCTTTATCTGTCTCCGAACCTTTTGATTTCATTCTTAGTTAATTTGAATTCCAAAACCCGCACTATCGATTAGATTACACACTTTGAGAGAGATCATAATTATGCTTTAAATAATGGCACAAGTTCCCACGAGACAAGAAAGCTCATAAAAAGGTTGCTAAAGACATGTTTATGGCAACAAACGAGTGTAATGTCTAAACAATCATGACCCTGCCTTCTCCTCCGCTGATGATCCAATGACCTAACCACAGTCGTCTCTAAACTAGGCTCTAAACAGAAATCAATCCACCACCCCCCCCCCCCCCCCCCCACCACCTCTGTCTCTCAAGATTTAAGTTTGTGTTTTATATCAGTCTCCAGAACTTAATTTGAATCGGGTTTAATTTTAATCACATTTCGTTGCGTGAAGTCTGAAGCTATAGTTCTTTATTGGATACCGGTACCTCACATCATACAGCAAATGTCGTCTTAATTCCGGTGTCGAACGTTGAGGGAGCCCGTTTAACCTATGTCACACCCTCTCACCTGACAACGTACAGGTAGCAAAGTCGAGTGGAGAGGGGTCGGTATGAAAAGGAGGATTGATAATAAAGAGAGAAATTATTAGGAAAAACGGAATTATATGAGAGAGAAAAGAGGATGACGAAGAAAATTTAAAATACACGATGGAACGGAGAATACAAGACAGGTTATTGAAAAGAATACAATGGTATGCTTGGATGAATCTTAATCGACCCGGGGAATCCCACGTTTTATTGAAATAAGTAAAATAAAATATTGGAGGGGGGGGGGTGGCTGGAACGAGCTGGCTTTCAATCGCGAGTGTATATGTACGTATAATAAAAAACATCACGTGGCTAGGTACATGTCACAGAGAGAGAGAGAGAGAGAGAATGGGGAGGAAGGTCGAAGAGACAAGAGAGAAATAAAACGCGGGGAATTCCACACTGTATTCTTAGCTCGAACATCTCCGGTGCACCCTTGTGACATTGAGATAAATTATTCGGGCATCTGGCCGGAACGACATCAGGGCGCCTGACTTTACGGTGCTAAAGCTTCAAATAAAAAGTATAATCATGCAATGAGAATATAAATTATGATAATAACAATAATAGTAATGATGATGATGATATTATTTTTATCATAATTATTACTAGTATTAATATTATTATCATCATCATCATATATGCATTTTATTTTTATGACTATCACCATTCTTGCCGATATCTGGAAAACACTTTTCTTCAAGTTCTGTTATGTGATTATTGCACTTTGTGTATTAAACTCAAAGACAAATGCGTTTGTATACAATATGCCTATACATATTTTGTCGAATGCGTTTGCTAGCATTTTTTTTAAAAACCGAAATGTATAAAAGTCTTCTTTTGTTTAGATTACAGAAACATAATATATGCATGTAGGCCTACGTCTCGTTGTCATAAATAGAAATATCTAGTGAATGATATCTTTATCTAAAACGTGATATTTGTAACGGTAGCATTGTCACTATGGCAAGTGCATTTGCGAAACGATTTTAGAACATAAAGATGACCCAAAAGAAACAATGTTCCGTAAAGTTAAAAAGCAACACTAACAAGATTTGTAAGAATAATCTTTTTTTTTTACATAGTAAAAATTAATATAATTGCAACGGTCGCGGATACATCATCTCAATTACAACGCAAATCATTTGCTTTCTGCAAACTAGAAACAAACAAATATATTTATGAAAACGTGATATTGTTGCTTCCTTGTTAAGCTACTTGAAAAGACTTGCTGGAAAGTTTGCTGAAAACTATTTTTTTTTATTATACGAATATAATGGGGTTTTTTTTAAATATATTTTTGTAATGTTATTCTACTGTAATTAATACTTGAAAACACATTATACAATACACTTCTAAGAAAAACAAATTTGTTAAAAATTGGAACGACATTTAGATGACACTCCTGAAGATTCAAAAATGCAAAAAAACACCATTATGATATTCCGTATTATCCCTGATATTGGATTAAGATATTTCCAATAAATTATTAAAATTTAGATTTTATTTTCAAACAATTAACTGTACAAGATGAAACTGGTAATATGACGAATAATGTTCGTTTTGTTAAAGAGAGTTAAAAAAATATCGTGCACTTTTTGTGAATGTGAATTTATTTTAAAAAGATTTGGAATGAGGAAGCACAATATATAACGTACACGTTTACAGATTAAATTTACAAGAGAAAATATAATTATTGGTGTTGAAGAAGAGAGAGATGACGTTGATATTTGATATTTTTCAATGATGGTATATGTCTAATAGTGAATTATTCAAGATTGATAATCGAACCAACTTTAGATTTATGTCCCATTTTTTAAAGAGATATGCTTAAGAAATTAACCCTTTCATACATGATAATACCAATTCAATATACCAATTTAATATTTCACATCGTACAAACATGATTTTAATTAGTGCCTTTAAATATTGCTTTAACCGCACTTATTACTTACGCAAGGTAATATTACACAAATACGGACCAATAGATCGAGTTTCAAACCATTTACACGTCAGACTGCACGATTGCCAATGCAACATACAAAATGTAACAAAGACAATTCGCTTATTGCGGTGTCAACTGGCATTGTGCGGGTGTGGGGTAATTTCTTGCGAAATTCCCCGTCAGTTATTATTAGGAAACCATATTGCGGTAAAGTGTAAAAATGTTAGTATCTTTTTTCCAATCATGAATGTTGCAACAAAATATCATATTCATGTTAATGACAGCTGCTCCTTTTAAATGACTTTTATACCAATCATGTCTTAGGGGCATTGGTTGCATTTGGAAAGCAAACATTATAAAGGGTATTACAAAGGACATTTATACTTAAATTATATGCCTGCACTTGGCTTTTAAAAGGGGACGTGGCCCCTTATGCCCCTTACATCCTCCACTGCCTATCCGATAAATGGGTAACTTTACCATCTTCTCCGGTGGAGATAACGTGGTTTATAAATAAATAGATCGTTTAGATTCCATCCTCTTTCACTTTCATCAGGGATACAATTAAACACGCCCATAAATCATATACGACCTGGTATCAATTTCCATGGAGGAACAAAATTGAAGATAAAAATATCACGCAAACCATTTTTCTGTTTAAAACAATCGAGAAGTAGTATACGGCATGACATACCATGATTTGAATTGCACGGGAGCTCTCCACATCGTGATCCTAACTTTAACATTTCAATACATTTCTTCTTCTTTAATTCGATTTGTCTCAAAACGTTATTGTTTACATTGAACCCCCCCCCCCTCAACCTTTCATCTGCTGTCACAAAAATCAACGTTATCATGTAATACAATGATTTCTTTTTTAAATAAAATAAAGTATTTTGGTATTTTTATTTTTTAGATATGTTTATGTAAATATTTTCACGATTCGGAAACATGCCACAATGGAAATATAACTAAAACCATTGAAATGAATTGATTTGAATTAAATGAGTCATGACGACAAGCCTGCAAGAAAAATAATTATTTTGATCAAAGCCAACTATTTTGTAAACCATAATTACAATTTACCGAGTCAACAAATAAGAGATTTATTTTTAAAATCTTATTCTATTTTATTCTAGTATTCTATATTATTCTAATCTTGCAAATCCTAGTGGAATTTTGTTTCAATATTCTACACAAGTAAATCTAATCCAAAGATATAGATCTATATGCTTATATCTGAAGTGGACCTGGCCTATATTGGACTTTGAAATTTAGTCAGATATGACCAAATAAAATTGAGCCCTGTGGAGACATACGAGTTTACTAACGTGAGTTTGGATTCCTATGAAATGTGGGGGGGGGGGGGGGGTAAATTATACAAAGTGACATATACATGAGTTAGAAAGAAAGTGTGAGGGAATTTACAAGACCACACGTCGTACAAAGAGCCCAACAAGATTATTGAATACCGGTGAAATTACTCATTAGTCTTTCATAAATTCACATAAACAAATATCTACATGAATCTATGTGAAACCACATAAATGTAGATGAATATGAATAACAATTTAACAACTAAAAGGGAAACAAAAGTTACAAGGGGTGCCCATTGGCATTGCACGGTGGGGTCAGATAACAAAAGGGTATGCCCAAACGATTTAAAAATGAATTTTCAAATTATCTTTCTTACCCTCATCTGCGCCGACGTCCAATCACAATTTAAGAGAACCATCATCAAAATGAAAACTAGAAACAGCATTATTTGATGACGACACAATTGGAAAAAGGAGACCTAGCTTGTATAAGGTTGTCCAAGAACTGATGTTCAGATAATAATTTATGGTAGCGAAATACACAACAACCAACTTGCGTAAGTCAAAATGACAACCTAAAGCTGGGCTGAAAAGTTTGAAAATGGTGATGTCCGATCTTCTGGCGAGGCACTTCCGAAATCTGATGATTGCTTTATTGGACTGGAAAAACCCACTTTTTGTTAAATACTAAAAGATGTGAGGGTTCTGTTTACAACAGTTATCTAGGGTGAGAATGTGTGCACTACTGCGCATACATTATAATGCCATGACCATCTCCGCGCTATTTTTAGATACACGGGTTTTCCCAGCGATATTTGCATTCGCATTTGATTTGCATAAGTATTATGTCTGGGGAATATCCACCTTCAAATCTCAATTAAGTATATAACTGCAATTGGTAATGCAATGTCGTGTGTTTAGGTCTGTCTATTTAATAAAAAGGTTTCATGAATACGGAATAATCCGCAAAAAAAAAAAATGGAAAAAATTACGTGATCGTTTATAGTGACATAAGACTTTTCAAAATGGAGAGACATCAGTCTCCCCCCCCCCTCTCTCTCTCTATCTCTCTCTCTCTCTCTCTCTCTCTCTCTCTCTCTCTCTCTCTTTCTCGCGCTCTCTCGCTCAAGTGTTCTGCCAACCTGGTTTCTTACCTATGAAGTACATAGTTATTCCATAATTCGCCACAAAAAAGGAAGAATTTGGTGACAATATATTTGCTGCCATCTAGGGGTATACAATAAATTGCATGCAAGGGAATCTGTTTCACGGTGGATGGGTGGGTGTGTAGGAATGTGTGTGAATGTTGCGTGCGCGTGTGTATCTGGGTCGGAGAGGGTGAGGGAGAGAAGGGGAGGAGAGAAGAGAAAAGATAGAGAGAGAGAGAGGGAGAGAGAGAGAGAGAGAGAGAGAGAGAGAGGGGGAATACAGATCGAGATACGAGACAATCAGTATCATCATCATCATCATCAATCATCATCATCGATCATCGCATCTGTGTTCATAATATAGCTAAATATATTTACAGTTCGTATAAAAAAGTGTACCCAACTTTATTAGCTTCTAATTAAAAATTAATAACCTATGTGTTGAATCATAATTAATTTTAAAGCAGTACCATTTTCATAATGTTATTGCCAAGGTGCCTGACCAGTAGGCTTTTTTTTTTGTTTTGTTAAGCGCTTAGAAACTTTGTATTAAGCGCTATATAAATGTAATTTATTATTATTATTATTATTATTTCAAAAAGTATTGTCAAAATCCTCCTGTACCAAGTAGTCAACAGAAACATTCAAATTACAACTGAAAGCTTATTTGTTTCTTTCGTTTTGAATATTTTAATTTACCATGTCTAGGAGAATTTCGAATTTTGTTTTTCGGTTTATTGTTGTTTTTCTTTCTTATGTCTGTTACTTGTCCTTTTCTCTAAGCGCCATGAGCACCGAAAGGTGGACCTGTGCGCTATACAAGTAGCCACTATAATAATAATAATTATTATTATTATTATTGACTATCAGGCAGTTGGAAAAAAAAGGTGTTAATATCAAAACACAAGGAAATGCTTATTACAAGCAAAATTTAAACAATATTATCTTCGTTATGATGATTACAATCTTTACTTCATTCGCATCCTTTGATTAAGGTAACATTCTCATTAAGTGATACAAAATGGATAAAGTTTATTTGGGATGCTATCTTTTTTTATGAAAGTCTGCTGTCAAATTCGTTGATATTTATCATTAAATGTGTTCTTTCATTTTGATTTGGTAACCTTTGAATTTTCATTCGCTATTAAAAATCATCTTATGCTCCTTACGCGTGTGAAATTGCGCAGTGGACAAGTGAGCAGAGAGAACTTAGATATCATGAGAAAAGGATTTAGTAGGCTGTTTAAAATAGTGCACTTTATATTTGTTGAATAAAAAATTAAATACGTACCATTTGCCTAATTCTGAGACAAATTATTGATCATGTGGGGAATACCACCAAGCCAACATTGGAAGGGTAATCGCATTTCTTTTTTGTACGTTGAAGGGGGTAGTGAGTGAACAGAGGAGAAGGAGTGTTTGGGTGTGTACGTGTGTGCGTGTGTGTGAGTGATAGAGAGAGAGAGAGAGGGAGAGAGAGAGAGAGAGAGAGAGAGGGGGGGAGAGAGAGAGAGAGAGAGAGAGAGAGAGAGAGAGGGGGGGGGGGAATACATTATCATCGTATTTGTGTAAATATGGCTTTATATCATTTGTTGAATAAAATTTTAAAAATACATGTCCCATAAGCCTTATTCAGAGACAATAAATCTCGTGTGGAATCCCACCAAGCCAACATTGGGAGGGTGATAGCTTTTTTTTTTTTTTTTTGACGTGTGTAAATGGGATGGGGGAAGTGAGTTAGTAGAGAGAGGAGAGGAAGACAGATCGAGCTACAAGAGTATCACCGTCAGTATCATCACCATCGTCATCATCTTCTTTGTGGTCATATGACTATATATTTTTGTTGAATACAATTAAATACATACGTGTACCGTGAGCCTTATTCTGTGTCAATTGATCTTGTGGGGAATACCCAGGCACGTAGCCAGAGTTTGATTTTTTTTTTTTGGGGGGGGGGGGGCACATACATGTAATCGATCGAGGTAAAAAAAAAAAAGGTCTAAAAAAGTTCAACCGATCCTGGAAAAAAAATTTGGGGGGGGGGCACGTGCCTGGGAATACCACCATGCTACCATTGAGAGGGTTATCACTACCGTGCGTCCCCCAAAAAAACTATACACTTTTGAAATGGCTGCCGAATAAAAAATATATGATTCTGGGAGAGAAGTTTTATATGTATGGAAAGCTCATAAACTCAACATTCATATGACAGCAAAAAGTCCGAAAATAATTCATGCTTGGGTGAGCATTGCTCACCTTTGTAAAGGGTATGAAAATTAGTTTGCGCATGAATTAGCCTTCCAATTTGTGAGAGGTAAATCCTTGGGAGCTTACAAAATTGCGGGTGATATGATACATTCATGATTTGCTGAGTGAATTTTATGGTTTATTAAACCAAACATTTATGTCTTTTTTTTCAACGAACCGTATTTGAATATTCAATTTACATAATCCCTACCTGGGTATTAAGTAAATCAATGAAATGTTCAATTAATCTTATAATTATTGAAAGTTACAATGCTACAATAAAAAATGCAATTCCTGCTCACTCATGCATATTCTTCTATTGTACGTTAGTTAGTTTGTAAATGGGAGGGCAGTAGGAGAGGGGAAGGCTAGAGAGAGAGAGAGAGAGAAGAAAAAAGAGAGAGAGAGAGAGAGAGAGAGAGAGGGGGGGGGGGAACAGGTCGAGCTATATATTTGTTGAATACAATGTAAAAAATACATTTACTATAACACTTATTCTGAGACAATTAAATTTGTGGGGAATACCACCAAGCCAACATTGGGAGGGTGATCATATTTGTTTGATTGTACGTTAGTTTGTTAATGGGAGGGGAGTAGTGAGTGAAAAGAGGAGAGGGAGAGGGACACAGAGAGAGAGAGAGAGAGAGAGAGGGGGAGAGAGAGAGAGAAATAGAGGAAGACAGAGAAAGATACAAGACTATGACCGTCAGTAACATCATCATCTCCATCATCATCATCATCGACTTTGTGTTCAAATCTATATATTTTGTTGAATGAAATTATAAACACATACCATATTAGCCTAATTCTGAAACAATCATGTGGGGAATACCACCAAGCCAACGTAGGAGGAGGATCACATTTCTTTCTTTTTTTACGTTTGTAAATGGGAGGGCAGTGAGTGAACAGAGGAGAGAGAAAGAGAGAGAGAGAGAGAAAAAGAGAGAACAAGAGAGAGATAGAGAGAGAGAGAGAGAAAGAGAGAGAGAGAGAGGGGGGAGACAGATCAAGAAAAAGAGACTATGACCGTCATTATCATCATAATTGCCTTTGTGTTCATAATATGACTATATCTATATAGTTGTCGAATGAAATTACATTCATTTAGTGATAGCCTAATTTTGTGAAAGTTGATCATGTAAGTAATACCGTCAAGCCAACATTGGGAAAGTGTTTTTTTTCTAATTTTTAAAGTTCGTAAATGGGAGGGGGTAGTGAGTGAACAGAGAGAGAGAGAGAGAGAAAGAGAAAGAGAGATCGAGATCGAGCTTCCAGACTATGACCGTCAGTATCATCACCATTGTCAACATTAACATCATCATTATCATCGCCTTTGTGTTCATATGGCTATATTATATTTGTTGAATTAAATCTTTAAAATATATGTAGGCCTACTATAAGCCTTTTTCTGAGTCAATTGATTTTGTGGGGAATACCACAAAGCCAACATTGGGAGGGTAATCATATTTGTTTGATTGTACGTTAGTGTGTTAATGGGAGGGGAGTAGTGAGTGAAAAGAGGAAAGGGAGAGGGATAGGGGAGAGAGGGGGAGAGAGAGAGAGAGAGAGAGAGAGAGAGAGAGAGAGAGAAAGAGAGAGAGGAAGACAGAGAAAGATACAAGACTATGACCGTCAGTATCATCACCATCGTCATCATCATCATCATCATTGACTTTGTGTTCATATATCTATATATTTTGTTGAATAAAATTATATACACATACCATATTAGCCAAATTCTGAAACAATCATGTGGGGGAATACCACCAAGCCAACATTGGAGGGTGGTCACATTTCTTTGTTTTTTTTTACGTTTGTAAATGGGAGAGGGCAGTGAGTGAACAGAGGAGAGAGAAAGAGAGAGAGAGAGAATAAGAGAGAGAGAGAGAGAAAGAGAGAGAGAGAGGGGGGGAGACAGATCAAGAAAAAAGACTATGACCGTCATTATCATCACCATTGCCTTTGTGGTCATATGACTATATCATATCTATATAGTTGTTGAATGAAATAACATAGGCCTACATGTAGTGTTAGTCTAATTTTGTCAAAATTGATCATTGTGAGTAATACCGCCAAGCCAACATGTGGGAAAGTGATTACTTTTCTTTGTTTTTAACGTTCGATGGGAGGAGGTAGTGAGTGAACAGAGAAAGAGAGAGAGATATAGAATGAGAGAGAAATGAGGAAGGAGAGGGGGAAGACAGATCAAGCTACAAGACTATGACCGTCAGTATCATCATCGTCATCATCAACATCATCATCGCTATCGCCTTTGTGTTTATATGGCTATTTGTTAAATAAAATCTTAAAAAATATATGTAGGCCTACTATAAGCCTTATTCTGAGTCAATTAATCTTGTGGGGAATACCACCAAGCCAACATTGTGAGGGTAATCATATTCGTTTGATTGTACGTTAGCCGTTAAAGGGAGGGGAGTAGTGAGTGAAAAGAGGAGAGGGAGAGGGACAGAGAGAGAGAGAGAGAGAGAGAAAGAGAGAGAGAGAGAGAGGGGGGGGAGACAGGTCAAGAAAAAGAGACTATGACCGTCATTATCATAATTGCCTTTGTGTTCATATGACTATATCTTTATAGTTGTCGAATGAAATTACATACATTTAGTGATAGCCTAATTTTGTGAAAATTGATCATGTAACACCGCCAAGCCAACATTGGGAAAGTGATTACTTTTCTTTGTTTTGTTACGTTCTTAAATGGGAGGGAGTAGTGAGTGAAAAGAGGAGAGGTACAGAGGGACAGAGAGAGAGAGAGAGAGAAAGAGGGAGGAAACGAGAGAGAGAGAGATGAAGACAGAGAGAGATACAAGACTATGACCGTCAGTATCATCGCCTTTGTGTTCATATGGCTATATCCATTTGTTGAATGAAATTAAATACACTACCAGTAGCCTAATTCTGAGACAATAGAATATTGATCATGTGGGGAATACCACCAAGCCAACATTGGGAGGTTGATCACATTTCTTTGTTTTTTTTACATTGTAAATGGGAGCGGGAGCGAGAGAGAGAGAGAGAGAGAGAGAGAGAGGGGGGGGGGGGGGAGAGAGAGAGACCAAAAGGGTCCCTAATGGCCAATGAACAAACATAGGAGATACTAAAACTAGCATCAACTAAACATGCACATTCGACTGAGTAAAGAACTGCTGAAAAAGGTTGGAGTTAATGTGGCCCCTGGGCATCTATGTAGATTAAATAAGCATTTCGACATGACATTTTGAGCAGATCACAACATTTTTAATCATAAATTTGATTACATAATGAAAATTTTGTGTATACTACTACATAAATATGGTGACTATTTTACATAAGACATGTGACCTCATTTTATTACTTTTTCTGGTCAAGTGTCTCGCAACTTTTTAAACCAAATTTCGAAAATCAGGAAATCCATTTCGAGGTCACGCAACATTTCAAAGTTACATATCTGGCCAAAATCGAATGAAAATTGACATTTTGCACACATTTCTGAACAAAATACTGCTTTTCCTAAATTGTGTCTTTTTAAACCTTGTTCTTGATCTTGTATGTCTTGAAATTTATCAAGATACATTTCTGAAACTTAAAAAACCCCATAAAAATAAAGAAATACATAAGAAATAACTATGCAAAATTTCACATCGATTAGACCTTCTACGACCGAGATCTAAAGGGGGGTCAAATTGAAAACCTCTTCCCCCCTCAAAACCCTGTCAGAACAAGATTGACATACTGTTATCAGCAACATCAAACAATACAAGTTTTGTTGAATTCAATTCAAATAATAACACCTCAAAAACTTTAATTCAAATATTATATTTCATAGATTTATTACCATTCAAGTATACATTTTGCTTCTTCAATACATCACACAGTGTTAACCAACTTAGGGTGAAAAGAGATGAGGAGCCTTATGAGGGCATGTATCATGACAATACAAAAACTTCAATCTGAAAATAGCAGACAAGCAAGTGCAGTAAAGTTGTCATAAGTACAGGACCAATGGTATCAGAATGAAAAAGGAGAAGGGTGATTTTTTTTTAGGTACATTGTGAGAAAATGCATGTACTGGAAGTATGAGAGAGAGAGAGGGGGGGGGGGCTGAGTGGCATAATCACTTGTGCAGTCAGAGCCTACATGAGAAAAACTGGGGGGAGGGGGGATTGGGACAGTCTTTTGTAAAGTGTTGTCACTCTTTCCTAATTCCACAAAACTAGAAAACTTGAGGCATTTTAGAAAATGACGAAAAACTCCTTCCCCAAGCCTACCAGACACACAGAATCAATGCACAACAAAGGTAATGAAACTCCCAAGGGGTTGTTTTATAACTGCGGACTAAATAAAACACAAAGTCACAATCTCTTTCCATCCAAGATCCGATACCAGGCTGTTCCATTCCAAAGGGTTTGTGTACCAGCAATTCTTTCAGTCCAGTAGTCCAACAAAAATCTCCTCCATCCTTCCTGAAACATAGCAGACTTCACAGCTATATGATATCCATCACTGTGTTTTCTTGAAATGTCCAAATTTAATATGAGTTTTTCATAGTTATTTTGGTTGCTGAGCAACTAGAGACTGAATGGTCTCGCTGACTTGCTTGGTGGTGAATCCCGTCATATCAGCACTGGCCTCTTGTCCAAATTCTGTTGATTGGAAAAACGGTGGTGGTAAATTGACAGTAAATCACTTGATTAGCACAAGCTTATCGACTCAACAATTAATTTGTTGCGGCATAACAATAAGTTTTTGTACAATTTGAGCCAATATCCATAATAGTGTAACATGAATCAGGGTTGTCTAGTGAAATTTGAAACATCTGAATAGACATAGGGTATTTAGATTTCAAAATGTTGAAAATGAAAGAGGAGTATACTAAATATTCTTGCCTCTCATCCCCAAAGTCATGTTAAATTTCATGTATTGGGTATGATTATAGACTTACAGCCTTATCGTAACATCATGATAATGCATCATGCTTTTCCAATAAAGAGTAACTTCATGCTCTTCACGCTCTCAGCAGCTGACATGAAGACAAAACTGCTGCCAGATCTGGGAGCCAAATCTGGAGAGTACTCCTCCCCCCCCCCCCCCCCCCCCCCCCCCCCCCCCTCCCCCTTTAAAACTTGTACTAAATATTTGAAGTGCCCATTCAAATTTTAGCCCCCTCCTTCCACCTTAAAAAAATGTGATAGCTTGCATTCTTTCTTTCTTCATTTCTTTTGCCTTGCCAGAAGATTTTCAGTTGAGCCAACCCCCCCCCCCCCCCTCTCCTTTGAAAAAACCTGGATCCACCCTAGATGAAAGCTGATTTACCATATCTTGCATAGACCTTGGGCTGAACTCCACTGCATTCTCTGATGAGGATTGGGAAGCGAGGGTTGGCTTTCTTGATGTCTACATACTGTGTCTTCACCCAATCTCTGACGGAGAATAAGCAATCAAACAAAGTGGAACGTTGCTACAAAGGACACAGTTTCTTACCCCCCCCCCCCCTCTCAACAACAACAAAATCAACATACAAGATTACTTTGCCATTCCCAGTTCTTTTTAATATGATTTGGTTCTTATCATTATCAACATCATCATCATTTTTGCTGTTGTTGTGTTTGTTGTTACATGCATTATCAGTATCATTTTTAAAGCTTTTTTAAAGCCTTCATATTAGTATACCAGCCAAACATGAAAAAAAGACTCTAGGAAAAATGCCTTGGCATTTTGGGTAAGGCATGGCATCTGTGCTAAAACCCTTTAAAAAATACCAAGGAGTATGATAGGGGTAAATGTCATGCCCAATCCATAGTAAAAATGTCATTTGGGGATCAAAATTTGAAAGCATGTCAAAAATCATGATTTTTGTTGTTGTTGCCTGAATGTTTTATCTGATGAAGACCTTTCAATCATTATAGTTTTGATTATGAGTTTGAAATAATAAGCCTGTTAAATGTAAATTTGAATGTTGGATATTACAATTTGTGCATGCAAATGAAATTTTGGTAGCACCACTTTCCATTATTTTAAATCAATCATGCATGAATTATGAATGATAAGTTGTACATTAAAGGTAAACACCAGTTATGGTCATGCTTTTGCATTGTGAAAGAAACGTTGTGGAATCGATCAGAAAAGGTTGATCATCTAGCATATACGTATTGGTGTGTACTGCAAGGTTCTGGAATCATCAAAATGATAAGAAATTCGGCCCAGTCTTCGTAAAGTTACAAGCATTGTACACAGAAAGATGTATATAAGACTATACGCACATGTGTTTATCTCTCACAGACCATGTAGATAAACTAATTTACCAAATATATCAATTAGTAGGCAGTTTCCCGGCAAAATTTTTATCATCATGTATTAGTCAAAACATATTTTTTCACATGATTGGTAATAAAAGCTTCCATTTCATTTTTTGAAATTGCGGCGTTTCCAATACTGGTCTTTACCTTTAAATGAAAAAAGAGAAACAGACCTTTTTATATATATCTTATCAAGGAATTATTAATTACGATTCAAAATTTTTGCATAAAATCCAATTCCATTTTCTGGACACCCTGTATTGGAATAGGTCTAGTAGAGTAAAGTACCCGGTAATCGGTCAGCTCCGGTTTTCGGCCAATTGGTTGGATACATGGTAAAATCACTTTAAAATACATCGCATAATAGCATAACACATATCCCACACATACCATACCATGCCAGTGTCACTGAAGAACCACATTTGCAATGAAAAATATATCCTAAAATATCACATTTTAGCGATGTAATCGGCGGTCCCGCTACCCAAATCTGAAAAATCGAGTTTCTTACGCGTGTATGTAAGAAATATGGGTACCATAAAATGAGCTTAATTTCAAGTATTTTTCAGATATAGAGCCGGATTTTGTGCTGGTCGCAAGCTCAAAAGTATCTCATCGCATGTATTAAATCAATGCAGCCGCACACCGCGACGCACACACGATATGTCTGTCTAATTCAGATTCCAACTTCCGATCACCGCTGTGCCTGTATTCGGCCAGGCGAGCACCCGGGAGCTCCGGCGTGGGATACCTGCTCCGCCCGCTTGTGCTATACATCAGCGCAGAAACGCACGGCGCGCGCGAGCGCTTCCTATTGACTTTGTACATGCGGCCGTAAACTGAAACGCTCGGCCGATAACCGGCTCCAAAACAGTGAAAATTGAAATGAATATTGTCATGGCAATTCGTGATTTTTTTTTGGGATTCTTTTTTTGTTTAAATAATAATAATATTTGCTTCATGATTTGAACAAGAAATGATAATAAATAGGAAGTAAAGAGTCCAATAAATAGGATTTTGTCTTAAGTGGCCGAAAACCGGGTACTTTACTCTATACTTTTTAGTTTAGATCTAGATACAGAGCATATCACACTAGGGGATGATGCAATCCACACACAAAAAATGACTACTTCTACTATGGCTATGCTATATATCAACAGGTTGTTTAGATTGATCATAACATAAGCTGAAACTAGAAAATTTGCTTAGCGAACAGGATTCAACGAAGGGAAATCAACTGCAGTTTCTTCACTTTTTCTACATGATTTTGAGCTGTGAAACGGCTGGTAATAACTTATTACAGGTCTGTTCTATTATGGCCATTTACGTTTTAACTGTATCATTTTGGAGCATCATATTTAAAAGTAAGTATTTCAACAACAACAATTATTTCCCTCCCATCGCATTTCAATTTTCATTTGTTTTGTACATGATCATACATGTGCAGGATGTGTGCGAAGTTTGTTTGTACTTTTTTTAGCAATGAGTACGATCGGAGTGTATGAGGTTGATACTGTGTATGGTTAGACTTAAACCTTTATACGAGTGGTATATAAAACAGTCTTTCAAAATTGAAAACCTGAAACATCATCAAAATCACGGGGCCGGGATTGCTGATCTCTGGCAAAAGCGGAGGGAGATCAAGAAGAAAAAGGTGCATGGATCGCAACGAGTGGGCCCACGTACGAGAAAAGTGTTGGCCAAAAATTGATTGGGCCTTCTCATTGATCATATATGATAAAAGTTTAGCATACCTTGCACCTTCACTTGCAGGAGAACGTTGGCAAAGGTGAATTCTCAGCTCTTTCAGATGTTGAGGGAATCTCCGAGCGACAGAAGCCATGATTTTACTGTCTTTTTATCGACAAAATTCTATCTAGACTAACTCTTAAAATCAATTCAATGCTGAACACATTATTAGTGAGCGCTTTAAATTATTTTGGCATGCTTTAATAGTACTCAAATCCTATTAGAACAGGAAAATAAGAATCATGAGTATTTTTTTACTGAAAAATATTGAATTTTTAAACATAAATAGTACATTCGATCAATTTTATTTCAGAACGACATATTTCTTTGCATCAATGTCAGGCTACAGGGTGTGTAGTTGTGAATTTCATTCCCATCATACAATTCGTGCAGTGGCAGTTATGGCTGACAACGGTTAAATATTTTCAAGTCAATTTCGTCGATACGGGAGCTCGGAGTCGACCTTTTTTGTAGGGTATGTATCACTTGTTAATAATGCTATTGACACCTTTGGTATTAGTTATCTGAAATCTCCAATTTGTTTTAGTCAATTTTTAAATAGACACGTTTTAATTTGTTTTTATTAAACTTCAATTTGTGGGTCATCATTTATTTTTCCCCATTCATTTTTTCGCAGCTCATTGATTTGTAGCGGTGTTGTTGTGCTTAGTGCGCCTGAGTGTGCCCGGTAAAAACTTACCCGCTCCCGCTGCGAGCTTCGTTCTGCATGTTGACGGGCGCGGGCAAATCGCACTGCCACTGCCAATGCCAATGCCAATGCCAATGCCAATGCCAATGCCAATGCATGGCAAATTGGAAATTCTCACATTATGAATCTCTCATTGCTTAATTGTGTAATTCCTAAAAGAATACACGGCCTTATCGTCATCAAAGTCCCCTCTCATTCACAGTGTATACACACGTTTGTTTGCGTGCAAAGTCCCTCGCACTCAGACGCAATGAAGCTAGCTGTGAGCTGTGTAAAATGAGAGGGGACTTGGATCACGATAATGCTGAATACACTTACAGGCACAGAAATTCTAATCAAAGGTTCACTTAAGCAGTACGGACGCTGGTCCGAGATTAAAGTATCGTCCGCAATGGATTCTGAATTCCGGTCCACGCTTTGGCGATGCAAAAAACGGATTCCACAATGATTTTCTTGATGCATTTCACATTGACTTTGTACAGAGACTTTCACATTATGAGCGATAAATCCTCGGGAAGATGGACTACCCCAAAAAGCAGACGGTGAACTGGGGGTATTTTATCACGCGGAGTTCTGTTTTTCGCATTGCCAACTCGCGGATCTGGAACTGTCTATCCCGCTTTTTTTATTCTCTATATCACTCTCCCTCTTTCTCTCTCCTTTCAACCTTTTACTCTCCTTTTTCTAGCTTCCCTTTCTCTCTTTCATTATTTAGATTCTCTCCCTTTTTTCACCTTCTTTCCTTCCCTTTTCTTTTCTCACCCTACTCCATTTTACCCTTCCCCCAAAATGGCTCTATCCCTATTCAAATGAAACTTTTTATTTTCATTTGATATGTACATGTAAGCTTTTTTTAATTTAATTTTCTTGTTCCTTTTTCATTCATATGACACTTTTTATCATATATCTTTATGTTTGTAATTCTTTTTTGTCCATTGGCTTTCTCTCTTCTCTTTGTTTTACTATAGGTCTGTTTACTATAGGTTTGTTTTACTATGTCATCTTTAATTTGTATTTCCTGTGTATTTATTTTCAATTTGATGTCTATATCATGTAATATGATCTGTTCTATGTTTGTAACACAGAATTGCTCAAAAGTAGTCTTGTTAGGCTGATGTAAGTTTTACCATGATTTAAAAAAATATATAGATCTAGAGATCTATCAATGAATAAATATTTGTTTTGGATTCAGGATTTGTACTTTTGTCCTGTGCATGGATGAAGAAGTTTGAGGCCTTTATTTTGTCATGTGGATTAATTCACTGTGTCATTTTATTTTCTGCTATTTACAGTATCTCCTTCATAATATGAACAACTAAAACAAGATGGATAATTACATAAAGAAGAAACAGATCGGTGAGGGATCCTTCGGCAAAGCTTTGCTGGTGAAGAGCAAAGCAGATGGCAAGGAGTATGTTATCAAAGAAATCAACATTTCCAAGGCAAGTATTTTGATAATAACCCATTAAGAGTCATCATTATGTCTCTCTCCTTCTCTTTCTCTGGCTCTCTTCTTTCTTCTTCTTCTTTTCTCTCTTTCTTCCCTTCCTCCCTCTTTGGCCATCTGACTCTGTCTGTATGTGTGACCTTTCTTCTCCTTCAGATATAAACTTTAGGACATCATAAACTTTGTGGAACTCACTCCCTCCTCACCTCCGAAATGAGAACTTCTACTCGCAGTTCAAGTCTTTGTTAAAAACGTTTCTGTTCGCAACATATTAGTTTGTTTAATTATGTTTTACATTGTACTACCCTTATATAACTTTTGTAGTATGCTTTGTATTGTATTATTCTATTATTGCAAATTATGTCCTGAAGTATGTTAAACTTTAACTTATGTGTATTTTACTTTCTTTCTTAAATTACTTTATGGTCGTATGCCCACAATTATACAATTTCCACACAATTGCGCCAGGAGTGTCATTTTTGACGGACATGGCGCATTATAAATGTGCACTATTATTATTATTATCATTAACATTGAGAGTTAAATAAATGTAATAAAAAGTTAAGAAGCAGATTGTAAATAATTAATCTTCTTTTGTAACCTATTACAAAAAATAAATTTTTATCGGCCTACTCTCTATTTTTTGTCCAGATGAAAAGGAAAGAAAAAGAGGAATCCAAGAAAGAAGTTGCTGTTTTGAGGAAAATGAAGCATCCCAACATTGTATCTTATGCAGAGTCATTTGAAGGTGAGTAGTATCAACAGTTAGGATCGAGGTCATGAACTTGATTCTTTCCTAGAATTCAGATGTATGGCAGTTGCTAGCTGTACTCTAGTATTGTATTGCAATTTTTGTCTCGTTTTTCTGCAATGATTTAAGAACTTTGAATTTGTTTTGAAACTTTTTGATAGCTTTGAAAATGCCAGATATTTAAGAAATCTTAGGGGAAGAACATTGACTCTTATAATCATAAGGGAGTATTATATATTTTATTTAATTCCCCCCCCCCTGTTTTGATAGTCTAAATAGAAGTTCATTCACAGCATGGCAGCCTGAAATTATTAGAGATGTTTTTATTAAGCTCACCAGCAGTGCCCTAAATATTAACAACACCAGCAGATCATTACAAGAAAATACTGGTCCAAAATAACTTGTATAGTTATAACTTTTATGGTTATGTATTTGAAAAGAGATTTAAAAATCAATTTTGTTTGTTTTCTGTTTTTGTAATATACCCGGGGCATTTTATGTACTTCATGGATACATGTCTACACTTCGCATTACACTCACTCAATAGATGATGATAATATGATTCTTGTTTGGCGTGAAAGACAGAAATTTCTGCAGTTTAATTCAATTGACCTACAAGAGTGTTGAAACTCATCTCACAAGCATTTGTGTTGACCCTGCCCCTACAGAGAGAGGAAACCTGTACATTGTGATGGACTACTGCGATGGAGGGGATCTCTACCAGGCCATCAATAGACGAAAAGGTGTCTTGTTTCCTGAAGATGAAATCATGGATTGGTTTGTTCAGATCTGTCTTGCTCTCAAGCATGTTCATGACAGGAAGATCCTTCATAGAGATATCAAGTCACAGGTGAAAACTTAATCCATTATTAAAGGCAATACTTGACACTTACAGGCGTCCAGAATACATAGGCACCCAAACAACTTTTAACCGGGACCCAAAATGCAACCTTGATTCAATGTAATATGCACATTTTATATGATTTGGGCTATTACTCTCACTTGTTATGGTTTATGTGGAAGGGTTCATATTAAAATGAATAAATTATGAACACCATGACTGTTGTAGATTTAAAGGTACTATGTCCCTTTTGCAGCCAACTTCAAATTCTGTAGAACTTTGCAGGAATTATGAATATGTCATGTATGTCCCATCTGTGAAATTTAAACGTTAGCAGTGTCCTAATATGAAACCCGTTTACTTGCTAGACTTCACTGTCAGACACTATTGAGTGACTGACGGGCTTTTTTTCTTTTTTGTAATAACATACATAAAATGAGCTGTAAAGGGTACATGAGCATTTGTCTACATCAATAACCCACGTCTTGTGATGGCCAAAATTAAACTGATTGAATCTTTGCACAGCATAAAACGTATGACATTCGGTACAATGGTCTGAAAATCAAGACTATTACTTATTGGCTCTATAGCTCCTAAATTGATTTGACAACTAATAGTCATTATTTTTCCCACTTGAAGACATTTTCAAGCCCCACCTTTTTTTAAGGAAGTTCTAAATTAGTATTATCTTTCTAATGCCGTTGGGAATTTAACCTTTTCATTTTTTTGGCCTGCAAATGGGACATAGTACCTTTAAAAAAAGAATTACTATAGAGTTGAAAAGAGTTGCTTGCAAATTGGACAGTAATTTCCCAACAGATATTTTAGAGACCACCTTTGGCTTAACCACTGCACTGAGTACTGTTTAGGTTCACAAGCTCAAAATGGGAAGTCTTATTTATTCCTAGACCTTTTGTCACCTTAATACCTTGGAGAGTCAGAACGTTCTTTATGACAGAGCATTCTCCTCCTTTTTTTTAGGAACATCCAATCATGATGAGTTATATGTCATTTTAGAGCTGAGAATATGCTCTTTCAGAATCAGAGCTAATCTTTAAAGTCATTTCGGGCAACATCTTTGGTAGTTTCATGATGCTTGGTCACATATGGCTTATATAAAGATATTCGCATTCAATGGATATTTGTAATACATACATGTATACTTTTGATTTTAATAATAATGTGTGCAATTTCCATAGGGAACGTTTGTTGGAGGTCTTCTATTTTTATTTGTTTTAATTTCTCATCAAATGCAGAATATTTTTCTGACAAGGAAAGGCATCGTTAAAATGGGTGACTTTGGCATTGCAAGAGTTCTAAATAAGTAAGTACTTGCAGTTATTTATCTGTTCCTCAATGGGGAAATTCACAATGAAAATTATCCATACATTAACAATGCTGTATGATTGGAAAAAAATTATTTGTCTTTTATTGGTTGTTAGCTATAAAGTATGTTTCTGAAATATGACAGTTGTTAATGTTGTCTAAATAGAGTACATGTATATCTGTTTAGATTTTTTAAAGTAAATAATCACAAACTAGTTATTTGCTGTCAAGTTTTTGAGCAGGTTGTATTAGTGATTGCTTAATGAATAATGATTATTTTTTCTCTTGTTAATTCTTTTAAATATTATTTTCTCTCTTTTTGTCTCTGTTTCTCTTTAACACTCTGACTGCTCCCTTTTCCTCTCTGTCTGTCTGTATGTCTGTGTGTGTGTGTGTCTCTCTCTCTACAGCACAATGGAGTTGGCTAGGACATGTATAGGCACGCCATATTATCTCTCTCCTGAGATGTGTGAAAACAAACCATACAATAACAAGAGGTAAGTGAAATAATTGTCTTTGAAACCATAGCGTTAGTTAAGGCAGTGTTTTAACCTACAGTTCTGTGAATAAAATAATTTTGATGTTTGTTGTCATTTTGAATTGTCCTTTAAATTATGTCCATGGTTTAGTGTACTCAAAGAGAAGGTTGCTGACTGTTTGTTATTCTCTGTTGTATACATTAATTGTGGCAAATGTGGCCATGATTATCTAAATATTTCTATATTTTGTTCAATTTTTAAAAGAAATGTTTCTTTCTGGCTATTTTTTTCTTCTTTGTATTGCTTCCCAAATCACATTTGAATGATTTTGCTTGGAAGTCCAAACAAAAATCATTAGTTTATATTTAATCCTTGAATTTATTGATTTGTTTCCATTTTTTCAGTGACATATGGGCCCTTGGCTGTGTGCTGTACGAGACTCTTACTCTGAAGCATGCTGTAAGTCATCTCACATTTAATTTTGTTATGCAAAAATGATCTAGTCTAAACCTTTAAATTTGAATTTGTTTAAACGAAGTAAAACAAAAAAAATTCTAGTCACATTGAATGTACAGAATCAAAACCCAAATTGCTTTTCTTTACAAAAAGCTCAAGGCCAAATGTAATGGTGTCTTTAAAAACAAAGTACATTTGTAAGATTAAAGCATACTTGTAAAATTTGAAATTTATATAACATTTAACATTTTTACTTTTGAAAATGATTACTAATGGAATGCAGTTTACTTTTTGAGTGTTGTGTATGTTTTGTATTGAGCAAAAAACTGTAAGGTTCATCTAAATGATGATGCTTGAGACAAGAAGAAGTGGAGGGAGGGAGTGTCATCTTGGCGCGAAAGTCAGTAAACCTTTTTTAGAGGGAAAATGCTGACTTGAATAAATGGTGGTGATGATGATGATTGTATTGTTTTTTCACCATTCAGTTTGAAGCAGGGAACATGAAGAACCTAGTACTGAAGATTATACGTGGGTCCTACCCTCCTGTGTCACCGCGCTACAGCTATGAGGTCAGGAATCTGGTGGCTCAACTATTCAAGAGAAGCGCTAGGTAAGCACGCCAAAATGGTTTGCAAAGAGTGACTGACTGACTGAATGACAACACTAGAAAAGCACTACTACACCCAAACCTGCTTAAGTGACCACCTGTCTACAAAGACCACTTTTTTCCCCCTAGAAAATGGTTTCTCATTGAAACATGTACTAAAGAATCCTGTCTTCAAAGACCACTTTTTGTGTTTCCCTTGGGCGGTCGCTATAGACAGGTTTGACTGTACTATTAGTAATAATTATACATTTATTTGTATTGCGCACGTATCCTAGGGGGATGCTCATGGAACCTACAAAGTATTCACAAATTGAGGCTTTTGGTAACACCATATGGGAGCAGTACTGTAAAGGCATTCTGGTATTCTTCCGTCAATATAACCCGCTTAAGGGGAATTTAGAGGAATTGAGGAAGAACTATAAGGGAAAGAAAGGGAGAGATGCTAATGGAATGGAGTTTTATTAAACACTTTAATACTCAAGACTATTTGTGGTGTTTGTTTTCGGTGTTATGTAAACCAAAAATGAGATAAAATGGAAGGAGGAAAGGAATAAATGTAGACTGATGTCTTTGCCTAAGGACATAAGTACCATAGCAAGACTTGAACCGTGAACCATGTGATCCGCACATGGTGACGTATCCACTTGGCCACGACACCTCTATGTAATGTAATGGTCTGAAGGAAGACATGTCATTTATTCGACGGTTTTCTATTGAAGCCTTTGATGAATAGTAACAGTATTTTAGGGTTGTCGTCAGCATGATTTTCTTTTTTTTTACACAATTCTTGCATTAACGAACACTGTTTACACTTCTGCTTCTATGATTATATTTTTCCTACCATGCAGGGACAGACCTTCAATCAACTCAGTTTTGAAGAAGCCCTTTGTACAAAAGAGGATAGAGAAGTTCTTAACTGATGCAGTAAGTAGAAGTTATTTATATAAGTTCATATATTTGTATGTATGTACTTTGTAGTAGGTGTGTTATATGATTGGTCATTTCTCTGTGGTCTCTCTGAAGTCTTTTTATTTATCTCTTCCATGTTTAGGGTAACTCCACAGTACTGCTATTTGTAGTGAGATTGATAATGTAGTAGATATTATGTGAAATGACACAGAGCCATTATCTGCCAATTTGTAGTATGTACAACTTTTTTATGTGTGTTCCTTTAGCAAAATGAAGTAATTCAATCTTCTTAAATTCATCTTAAATTGTGATTGTCCTTGGGTTTTTTCTTCCTACCCTTCTCTCTTTCTCCCCTGTCTCGTTCTCTCTTTCTCTCCCTGTCTCTTTCTCTCCCTGTCTCTTTCTCTCTCTGTCTCGTTCTCTCTTTCTCTCCCTCTATCTTTTTCTCTCTTTCTCTCCCTCTATCTTTTTCTCTCTTTCTCCCCCTGTCTCGTTCTCTCTTTCTACCCCGTCTCATTCTCTCGTTCTCCCCCTGTCTCGTTCTTTCTCTCTCTCTCTGTCTTCTACTACCAACCTGCCTCCCCTTTTTATTTTCTTACTCTCTTTTTATCTCTGTCTCTCTTCCATCTCTCTTTTCTCCTGTTTGTACCACCTACAGCAAGTGAGTGATGAGTTCAGTCACACTATCCTGCATCGCAATGCTCGCCCAGCTGCTAGAGGTGTAGGAGCTCCAGTATTCCAGAAGCCTATCCCAAGACCAATCAGTGCAGCTGGTAAGAAGTAGTACATTTGCCGTTTGGTCTTCAACCAGTTTGTCTACTACCCAATTAGTCTATTCCCATATGGTCTACACCCAGCCCGTCTGCTATCCACATGGTCTCATAGTCATGTGGTCCACTTGTCATTTGCTTCTGTAGATGTACAGAAATCACTGACATTGTCATGTATTAATTACTCTGTAATGAGTCACAGAAAAGGTGGAAATTAGCAAAGAATGTTCTTGATTTGTTTAGTTTTGGGGGTAGGTTGCTCTATTTCCTTAACAGCATATGATACAAAAGCATAGTTATAACCATTATGTTATTTAACCCTTTCCGGACTTTGTTCAACTAATGGAACTAGAACCCTGCTGCTACCATGGACCTTTGTCGCATATACTCATAAAAATGTGGCAGTCTCCGGTTTCAATCCATTGCAAATAGAATGCTGATTGATAAGTTTTAAGTTTGCTATATCCATCATTTTGATTGTTTTCCCCCTTAGCAGCCAAGAAGCCACCTATACCTAAAGCCATTAGTAATCCTGCAGCCAAATATGGACCCTCGATGGCTGTTAAGAGGCCCCCAAGTGCTGGGATCAGGTGAGTACTGTATAATACAATGATCAAACTGAGGATACAAAGATGATGGTAAGTGTTATATTGCTCTAGTTCATAACATTACGAGCCAGAGTAATATAACACTGAGTTCCTATAAGACATCTGTTTATACAGATGGTCATAACTCAGCCAATACTTAACATATTCATTTGGTTTTCTACATTTGGACATTATTTTTGATGCTCTTTTGGAAAATGAAGAAAAATTGAGAAATTCCTAAAAAAAAAGATTTTTATGATATCACAGCTTCTTTACTCTATAACAGTAGAATCAAGATAGAATGATAGAACAAAAAGAGAAATATGAAACAAATTTTCAAGAGATATGTCCAAATTGTTTAAAATTTGCTTTGAATGTTTTATTTGTACAAAATCAGTATTTTGTATTGTTAATTGTGAAATGAAGTTGGAAGGTCATTTAGAGCAGTTTCACGTCTATCAAGTAATCTTAATGATTTAGACGACTATGTCCGTGACCCCCTTCCACCATCCACATTTAAATACAATGGTAATAATACTGGCTGACCATTACTGTATGATACCCAATGAGAATACAATAATAGTTTGCACATCACTTATCTGATCTCTTGAATGTTGCAAGTTATATGTGATTTGTTGATATAGAAGGCAAGGGGGTTGTATTAAAGTTCTATTAATTTCACAATATCTTGGGCAGAAAAAAGATAATTTCACAGAAATGTACTCTTCTTAGTTATGTATGTAATGAGATTAATGTCTTTTTATTGTGTTTTTTTTTAAAGGAAATCTGTAGAGGACAAGAAAGATAGTGTAGCAAAGGTAAATAGATAAAATTATTTTGCACTCAAATAGAACTCATTCATTAATCCATGACAATACTTTTTTTCTTCTTCAAAATCATGATTAATGTACCGGTAACATTGCGCTTTGTGCAGTCAAAGGAAATGTTCTGTGAGTGATAAACCTGATAATATCTGGCTGTCAATATCTTGAATTAAAGATTAATTAGATGAACGCAGAATGCTTTTTGTGTTGGTAAATTAGAGTGTATACAATTATGGCGTATGGTACATTATGTGACATTGCCATTCACTTCAAATTTGAAAATTGTTCTTTTAATACATTTTACTAGACTACTTGTTCCTCATACAAATTTGAGACAGGTATTCAGTGGAGAATCGCCCCCCCCCCCCCCGTCAATTCTATTTAAACTGTCTCCCTCCTCTGTTTTTCACTACAATAATCTTGTGTGGCTTGTTATTTTATGTTATTCGTTCATGATTGCATCATTTCTCCACAATTTTTTAATAATTTTTTTTACTCACTTCAAGGAATTGGAACAGAGGAAAAGAGAATTGAAAGAGAGGGAAAATGAGAGGCGACACAAGGTTTGTTTGTTCAATAGCATACATATATATCCCATTTTTATGCCTCCGCCACCGAAGGTGGTGCCGGAGGCATCATGTTTTCGGGTTGTCCGTCCGTACGTCCGTCCGTCCGTACGTCCGTCCGTCCGTCCGTCCGTCCGTCCGTCCGTCCGTCCGTCCGTACGTCCGTCCCGTTTGACCGTTATCACAATATCTCAAGAACCATTTAAGATTTAAACTTAAAACTTAAGGATAGTATGTATCACCATAGGAAGACGATCTGATTAGATTTTGGAGCACGTATGTCAAAGGTCAAGGGTCACAGAGGTCAACTTATGAAATTCCATACATTGAGATTGTTATCATGATATCTCAAGAACCACTGGAGATTTAAACTTCAAACTTAGTGATAGTGTGTATCACTATAGGAAAACAATCTGATTAGATTTTGGAGCACGTATGTCAAAGGTCAAGGGTCACAGAGGTCAACTTATGAAATTCCATACATTGAGATTGTTATCATGATATCTCAAGAACCACTGGAGATTTAAACTTCAAACTTAGTGATAGTGTGTATCACTATAGGAAAACAATCTGATTAGATTTTGGAGCACGTATGTCAAAGGTCAAGGGTCACAGAGGTCAACTTATGAAATTCCATACATTGAGATTGTTATCATAATATCTCAAGAACCACTGGAGATTTAAACTTCAAACTTAATGATAGTGTGTATCACCATAGGAAGACAATCTGATTAGATTTTGGAGCACGTAGGTCAAAGGTCAAGGGTCACAGAGGTCAACTTATGAAATTCCATACATTGAGATCGTTATCGCGATATCTCAAGAACCACTGGAGAATTTTCACTTCAAACTTAATGATAGTATGTATCACCATATCATAATATCTCAAGAACCACTGGAGATTTAAACTTCAAACTTAATGATAGTGTGTATCACCATAGGAAGACAATCTGATTAGATTTTGGAGCACGTAGGTCAAAGGTCAAGGGTCACAGAGGTCAACTTATGAAATTCCATACATTGAGATTGTTATCATGATATCTCAAGAACCACTGGAGATTTAAACTCCAAACTTGTTTAAATTGCTCTATGGCGGAGGCATCATTTTCGACTGCGCGCAGTCAAAATTCCATCTAGTTAATTGATATGATAGGTGGACAGATTTTGTCAGTTAATATATTTCTCCCAGATTTATATTGAATTCACAGACTCATCCTACTATTGTCAAGTAATACAAAATTCAAACCATATTGAATGTGCCGTTTTAGCTCACCTGAGCCAAAAGCTCTGGAGCTTTTTGTCCATCATCGTTCTTCCATAAAGTATTCACATTTCAAATTCTTCTCATAAAAAGAAGGCCAGATTTTAACCAAACTTGGTAGAAATCATCCCTAGACAAAGGAGATCTAAATTTGTTCAAATGGGTATGTTCCCCCAAGTGGGACCTGGCCAGCAATTGCACATTTTTTTCTTCTTGAAAACCCATGGCTGTATTCTAACCAAAATTTGTAGGAATCTACAGCTGCATACATCGAACTGAAGTGACTGACATGATCACTTGTAGATAGCTAGAATGACACAAGACAATTCTCCTTTGAAACAAACATCAAAAAGCAGAAAGCAGTACAATACTTATCTGATTTATTTTTATTTTTAGGAAAGACAAGTAAGACAACAGCGGGAAGAGCTGAATGACAAACAAAGAGTAAGTAGAAAACATGAATGAAATATAAACATATATATGATTTTATATGTTTACAAACAGAATATTGATTTGTTACATTGCATTGTAACTTGATTTATATGTTTATAAAGAGAATATTGATGAACATCAATGAATTTTAATAAATACAATAAAATACAATAAATGTTTATATGTTTGATTGAAGGTAGATTACTGATATAACATCTGAATAGCATATTTCATGCAGCACAAATGTGCACGTCAAGAAGTGAATATATTTCCTCTATATTGATCATTTTTTTCAGATGGCCAATATGAAGAAGGCTCGTGAAGCAGGGTGGAAGAACACCCTTCTCAGCAGCAGCAGTGGTAGCAGCAATGGAGGAGGGGGGTATGGAGGCGGCGGAGGAGGGGCTGCTGAAAGTGAGGTATGCTGGCACACCCTTTATACTCATTTTGTACCCATTCAATAGGAAATACCTATTTCTAGTGATACACAGATGTTGCATTGAAAGTTAATAATAATTGTGATGTTGTTTTGCTGATCTGTGCAGATTATTTTTGTTTTTGTGTGTGTTATTAGGATATAGAACCTTTTTGAAAGTGAGGGGCGTTGGAGAGAGAAATATTAGCAGTGAATTTAGTCATTTTTAAAGAGATCATGTAACTTTGTCTCAGATTCTGAAACAAAATCCTGGATTTAGCTCATGCTACAATGATAATTATAAACCTTTAGGTCAGTCAGGAACCCCATGACTTTTACAAGCCGATCGCCTGTCTGATTATCAAGATATTTATGATTGAAAATCAAAATGTCATTTTGCGTTTTTCTAATGGTTTTGATAACACTACAGTCTATTGAATGAGTATGGTATAAACGGTCACTTGAAGATTTTTACTTTTTTGAGGCACTTCATAATCGTTTTAAAGGGCAATTTTTTTAGGACTTCAATGTTACACCATATCACAGACACTGATAACATGTAGAGCCATGCATATCAGATTTAACATTGTTAAATGATGCCTTTAACCCTATGTTAACTGGGGGGGGGTCAATTTGACCCCCCCCCCCCTGTTGAAATTTCGCGACTACTCCGAAACCGCGGCAGATATAAAATTTTCCTTTCACAACTTTTTACTTTCGAGTCTTACGCATCTTTTAAAACGATTTTTTCGAAAATCGGACCTACGGTCACAAGGTCACGTGACCTTTCGTCTTTGCATGTCAGCCCGAAAATAGCTCATTTTCGGGATTTGTGTACAAAACATATGTAAAAGTCATTTTTCCTAAAAAATAGATAAAACATAAGTTATTCAGTCTTGTTTAAAGTTTAGATGTTTGTTTTGGGGTCAAAATAGTTGAATTGTAGTTATGAATGAAATAAAACAACAAAAACAATAAAATACATAAGTTAAAAAAACATTGAAATACATAAGAAATTATAAAAACAATAGATAACATAAGGAATAACCTGGCTCTTCCAAATTTTTGTGTTGTATTATTATACCAAATGGTCTAATAAATATATGTATTGAAAAAGAATACGTAAACATGAATAATCTATGATTTATGGGCAGAAATGTGAATTTGATGACCTTATTTGCATAAATTACCACAAATATGCAAATGAGTGAATTTTTCAAAAATTTGAAATTATCATAGTATTCTATACACTTCACTTGACATGCATGCAAATTTTCGCGGCGATCGGCGGTGAAACGGCCGAGATCTTAAGGGGGGTCAAATTGACCCCCCCCCCCCCAGTAAAAACCTGGTCTGAAATAGCCCAGTTAAAATAGGGTTAAAGGTTATCTTGAAATTTAGTCTTTAGAACATGATGCCAGTCATATTGATCCTTCACCTCCCACAGTATGAAGAGCCTCCCAAGAAAGAAGCAAAGTACGATAGCCTACACCAAGGGGCCAAACCAGAGCGTGGTAACTATGACCACTATCACCAGTACCTCAGCAACCTCCGCCAACAGGCCAACGGAGCCGAGGCGGGCCAGGGAGGGGCCGCCATGTTCAAGGAGGATAGGTCTAAGAGGCAGCAGGAGGAGGCTGCCCTCAGGAGGCAGATAAGGGAGAGGCCAGTGTCTGCTAGTGCTGCCAACGCTGCAAAGAGGGCAGAGAATGCAAGGTATGGGTCTAACAAAAAAGACATTAGTGAAAAATAAGATAATTTTTAATGTATGACAACATTTTCTCAATGGACATCGGCAGAAAGTTCTAGACTGTTTCCTAATTTATTTGGTTACTTTTATCATACATTTTTCAGATGTGAGATATTGAAATTGTTTTGCTCGGTCACCCAAATTTTTCAAAGAATCTTTATATTTCTTGTTGGCTAAAAACCTCTTTCACACCACTTTTATTTATGCAATATTTATATTTCAATATATTACTATATACTATATGTCTCAACATGTATGTTTATAATCAAAGATTAAAGTAAATACAATTTCTTTAGTTCATAAAATGTGAGTAAATCTTTCAAGCCATGGCACAAATAGAATGGAGGTATCATGGTAGAGTGGTTCATTCACTTGACTCTCAACAAAAGGGTTGAGGGTTTGAATCCCGGCCTGACACAAATGTCCTTGGCACTTGGACATTAATTAATTTGCCACTCTGCACCCAGGTGGTGGCTGCTCGGTTATGACTGAGATGATAATGCTAAAGAGGAGTGCTTTTCTTCTTTCTTTCAGGCATGCTGGTGTAGAAGCAGCTGAGAGAGCCAAGATGGTCAATGATTTCTTGCTCAGAAAGAGAGAAGCAGCAGCTTACAAAGCCAGGGCAGCCGTTCAACTAGGCTGGGGAGCCGTAAGCATACAATCGCTCATTCTGAAAAGAATTCAATTTTAAAAAGAATAGTTTGTCTGGATGATCAGCGATACTAATCAATCAAACATTTTATAATATTAAAACAATTGAATCATGCACAACTGTAGTTATAATGCTTGCAAAAGGTTTTGGGCCGAGAGATTATTATTGAATGTGTTAAAAAGACATTTATATATTAGGCTTACCTTACATAAATACCACCTGTCTCCCTTGAGTGGTCTTGATATAGAGGTTGTCTCTGTGTTTGCTTGTACCTGTACTTGAAGACCACCTTTCTTTAGTGACTGCCATTTTGTGTCCTTATAGCCGTATTTATGTGTGTATGTAGATGGTCTTTATGTACAGGTCACTTTTGTACAATTTTTATATTGAAACACTGTTCAAAGCTTTCATGCAACCCTAAATGGGCAATGTGGCCTGCTCCTTATACTGAAAACAATCAAAAATTCAGGAGATGTGTGCTGACTTGAGTGAAATATTACTGGATATGCTCTTATTTTTACAGGGTTTTATTCTTGTTAATTTCTTGAATACCAATCACGAATTTAAAAACACACAGAATAATGCCTCCACTTCTAGAGGTTTCCAAATAGTGGGGTTTCCCTATTGAAGTTTAGGGGTGTGCATGCGTACACTGTTCCTCCACTTTTCCCCTATATTGGTACTGTGTATGTATATGTGTAGCACATTTGCATATGCAGAGGTGCCAACCAGTACGATTTAATCGTATTTAGTATGATAATTTTAAAAAAAAATAATACCCATAAAAACCACGGAATCGCAAAGTAAACCCCCGCAGCCCCAACAAAAACTTTGCTTTACAATTTTCTTTTAAAATTTTATTGAAAGAGCAAACATTTTACTTGACTGTACGTACCAGTATCACATTTTTCTGAAATTTTACTGGCCCGGGGCCAAGCGGCCATTGGTAGTGTCGAGTTTTCGTGAAAATCTGATTTTTTAGGATACTCCGTCTGTTTTTTTGTGTCAAGAGGTTGGCATCTCTGCATATGCAGTGCGACCAAGCATGCATGCATTGAGCAAAACCAGTTTGTATATCTTAGCATGACTTAAAGTGTATGGAAATAAGTACGAGAAACCAGCAGGCCATTTGTGAAAGCAGAGACTTGCAAAACTACTTTTTTTTGGCATGTTACTCTCTGAAACATTGGCTTATAGAGTAATTTTTCTGTCTTTCTTTCTTTGTTTTTGAAAGCAGCCGGTAGCAGGAGCTGGAGATGCTCGTAATGAACCTCTGCTACCGTATGGTGGCCAGAAGAAGGGAGCGGACAAGGATGAACAGGTCTGTCTGCAAGGATCATACTTCTAATTCTTCTACAGTCAAACCTGCTTTAGTGACCACCTGTCTACAAAGACCACATTTTTTGTTTTCATTGAAAATGGTTTCTCCTTGAAACATGCACTGAAGGAACCTGTCTACAAAGACCACTTTTTGTGTTTCCCTTGGGTTTTTGCTACAAACAGGTTTGACTGTACTACTACTGCTGCTGCTGCCACTACATCTACTTCTACTACTGCTACTAAAAAAAGAATGATGATGACTACTACTATTATTTATGATGAAATAAATGATGATAATATTTTGTTTAAGAATACATGGGTTGTGTGTTAAAGTAGTGGGACATGGCTGTACCCTTGTAGTATACTTTGTATTTCTGAGTAAGAAATGTGCAATGCAATATCATAACTGGAGCTGTTCTAGGGGTGGGGGTATTTTGATTAAAATGTATTCTATATAATCCTTGATTTGATTTGAATATCTTTTTCTTTTCTCAGGCATATTTAGACCAGCTGAAGGCCATCAGAATGCAGAACTACCAGGAGAGATTGAATGTCAGGAATAAGCTCAAAGATGTAAGTACAGTCCAACCTGCTTTAGCAACCACTTGTATAGAAAGACCACATTAGTCATTTCCCTTGAATGTGGTTTCTCATTGAAACCTGTATTAAAGGATCCTGTACATAAAAACCACTCAAGGGAGAGAAGAAAAGTGGTCTGTATAGGCAGTTGATCTTTATGTACAGGTTACTGTAATACTTATTTCAATGAGAAACCATTTTAAAGGGAAGCAATAAATGTCATTGTTAACATGCCTACATGCGAATGACCCAATTGTTAACATGTAAAACAGATTGCAGGGGTTCAAACAAATTATTGTAGAGAATGAGCTACTTCAGAGATACTGTCTGCGCATAGGCAGATAAAGGTCAGTTTTTACAAAACTAAAGAACCCATCAGGACAAGTAATAATGGATACATGTTCACAAAAGTTATGTATAAATCATTCATTTATGCAACGATGGTACAATTCGTGATACAAAGGTGGAAGTATTCTTTTCCAGATGGCAAACAAAAATTATTCAGGAAACACCTTTTGAAAATGCACAGTCAATGTGCGCCTTCTCCAAATTTGAACTGTTGATATTTGTAAATTCCTAATTAATTTTTACTCTTTTCTGCTGTTTTAGGTTTTTTTATTTTCTCCTTTCTTTAGAGTAGCTTTATTCATTTGTATTTACTTTATCCACAGGATGATCCACAGATCTCTGCAGAAGAAAGAAGAAAAAAGATTGAAGCACTAAAGGTAAGACATGTTAATGAACCCTTAAAAAAGATTATTATTATTATTTTATTCGGCAAAACAAAGTGTATACAAAAGAATTACATAGAAGAAAAAAATCATACAAAACAAAAGATGAAAATCATTTTAAAAACATTGTGATTCCCATGAACATTTACAAGTTGCCAGGAATGGGGCAGGCAAACTAAATCACTGCAATCGTGAAGTTCCCTCTTTTCCATTACATGGGATATAAGTCTCTATATCCCCAAACAAGGCGTGTCACCAACTTGGAATTTCATGTCAATTTTTTCTCTGCTAGAATTGGAGATCGTGTAAAATGCATTTGGTTAAAATTATATTGGAAAGACTTTGAGGTATTGAATGTTTGTTTTATGTGAAATTAACAAATTAAAAAAATGTTTGTTGTAAAATATTTTAAAAAGGGATTGGGTTCAACTGCAAACGTTACATTTACATGCAATTTTATGTTTCATCCCAATACCATTCATACAATCTTTACACTAATCAGTACATTATAGAACCTTTTTCTGCTCTTTGCTACAAATAGTGATAATTCCATCATTGTTTTGTGTCCATGACAGGCCCAAGCCAACCAGCGAGCAGCAAAGCTGAAAGAACAGCTAGAAAAGCAGAGAAGAGACGCTTATGAGAAAGAGAAGAGGGCTTGGGATGATCATGTAAGTCTTTTCTAGCCCTTATCAAGCAATTTTACTCTTAACCCTATTTAGCCTGGGCTATATTGAAACTGCATAGCCCAGGGGGGGGGGGGGGGGGGCTTCCAAGGCCCCCCCCCCCTATGATCTCGGCCTTGAAACGCCCGATCGCCGCGAAAATTTGCATACATGTCAAGTGAAGCGTATAGAATACTATGGTAATTTCAATTTTTTGAAAAATTCACTCATTTGCATATTTATGGTAATTTATGCAAATAAGGTCATAAAATTCACATTTTTGCCCATAAATCAGACATTCTTCATATTTAAGCATTCTTTTTCACTACATATATTTGTTAGACCATTTGGAATAATAATACAACACAAACAATTGAAAAACCAGGGTTATTCCTTATGTTATCTATTGTTTTGATAATTTGTTTTGATAATTTCTTATGTATTTCTTTGTTTTTTTAACTTATGTATTTTATTGTTTTTGTTGTTTTATTTCATTTCCAACTATAATTCAACTATTTTGATCCAAAAATAAACACCTGAACTATAAACAAGACCAAATAACCAATGTTTTATCGGTTCCATGACACATGCTCCGCCGACGATTGCTCCGCCGACATTTACTCCGCAAAACGCGACAATTGCTCCGCGACATTTGCTCCGCGACATTTGCTCCGACGTCAAATGCTCCGCCGACAGGTGCTCCGCCGACAGTTGCTCCGCCGACAGTTGCTCCGCCGACAATTGCTCCGCCGACAGATGCTCCGCCGACAATTGCTCCTCCGACAATTGCTCCGCCGACAATTGCTCCGCCGTCAATTGCTCCGCAAAACGCGACAATTGCTCCGCCGACATTTGCTCCGCCTGAAGCGACACTTGCTCCGCCGACATTTGCTCCGCCGACATTTGCTCTGCCGTCAATTGCTCCGCCGACAATTGCTCCGCCTGAAGCGACAATTGCTCCGGTGACATTTGCTCCGCCGACAATTGCTCCGACGACATTTGCTCCGCATGAAGCGACACTTGCTCCGGTGACATTTGCTCCGACGACATTTGCTCCGCCCAAAAAGTGTCCCATTAAATACAAATGCTACTAGTACTACGACAAATGCTTCGCCGACAATATTTTTTTTTCACGGGTTGTTTTTGTTTCTTTCTTTTTTTCTTCATTTTTTGAATGCATTTCATGACATTATGTAAATGAAATGAAATGAATGAATGTTGATAATGTGGGAGGAAAAAGCAGTTGCCTAAAAGTCATTTCGAATATACTGAAATAACTTTCCATCTATCACTGTACGTCCCACATAATGTACACTAAACACTCATTACATGTCATGGGAAGTTTTTTTTTTTTTTAAAGTAGAGCAGCAAGCCACATTCCCCAATACGTGCATACCTCCTAGTTAATTTCAAACAGCTCATCAATATGTAAGACCTGAAATTACCTCAATGAAAGAAGACTAATAACATGAGAGGAAAGAAAAGAGCAAAAAAGACAACCGTTTTTTGCTATTCCCCATAATGTTTGATTTAAAAAAATAAAAAATAAAATTATAGCTCCTTACGCAAGTTCTCCGGCGAAAGATAATTACTCCGCTCAAAATCTGTTTCATGTATTACTCATTAGCTGATCCAAAGCTCAAGGCTATCTCTCTCTCTCTCTCTCTCTTTCTCTCTCTCCCATGCTCCTCCTTTTCCTGTTTACACCGTTTTCTTGTCTTCTTTGCTCTTTTCTTTCCTCTCATGCTATTAGTCTTCTTTCATTTCCATCACTTCTTCTCTGCTCCCCCTCTCGAGTTCTATTTCTCTCGTGAAATTGAAACGTAAAGTAATACAATCATGTAGTACATTCTTGTTTAGAATAATATTTTCAATAATATCCAGTCCATTTTCGAAAGGTTTCTTTCCTTTAGTTAAGTGTATGTAGCTTTAATATATATATGTTAGTGTGCAAAACACTCCGTTTCATTCGAGTACTTTGTTTTCACTAAATAATTTAAGGGACTCACGAAGCCACCGGAAGAAGAGCAATTGGCTTATCATGAAGAACTAACATCAAACTGCAACAAAATGATTTGTATAAATGTGAATAAGCAGAAAGGCTGCCATCTCATTTTCCCGTCTGAATGGGTTCTCTTCCTTACGTATATAAGTGCCCTTATTTTCTAAACTTTTTTTTTTTATATTTGTGTGTTTATTAAATTTTCAATCATATAAAAATTACATATTTACAAGTCATTGGTAATAATTAGACAAACAAAAAAACCAATATGTATAAGAACAACTAACAATAATGAAAGGACAAGAAAGTTATAAAAAAAAACATTATAGTAAAAAAAAATACACTGTACACATATAAATCATAGTTTGAACTCCAGTGCATAAAGGGGAGTGAGGGGGCACAGGAATAAAAGTTAAATCAACATGAGTATCATAAGTCAAATCGCCATTTCTTAAAATGCGAAACAAGCTTGTTCCTTTTTTTCGCTGAGAAATATTCAATATCTTTTTGTTTCTTTATAAAACTCTTAAAAAGATCAACACTTGGTAAATCCCCCTTACTTATTTTCTAAACTTCCATGATGACCTATTACATTGTATAATGCTTTACCTAGTAAGATGCATTGATCGAGGTAATTTCAGGTATTACATATTGATGAGCTACTTGAAATTAACTAGGAGGTATGCGCGTATTGGGGAATGTGGCTTGCTGCTCTACTTTTTTTTAAAACTTCCCACGACATGTAATGAGTGTTTAGTATACATTATATGGGACGTACAGTGATAGATGGAAAGTTATTTCAGTATATTCGAAATGACTTTTAGGTAACTCCTTTTTCCTCCCACTTCATCAACATTCATTCATTTCATTTCATCTACATTATTTCAAGAAATGCATTCAGAAAATGAAGAAGAAAAAAAGAAACGAAAAAAATAGGTGTAAAGAAAATATTGTCGGCGAAGCATTTGTCGTACTAGTAGCATTTGTAGTTTATGGGACACTTTTTGGGCGGAGCAAATGTCGTCGGAGCAAATGTCGGCGGAGCAATTGTCGCTTCAGGCGGAGCAATTGTCGGCGGAGCAATTGTCGGCGGAGCAAATGTCGGTGGAGCAAATGTCGGCGGAGCAAATGTCGGCGGAGCAATTGTCGCTTCAGGCGGAGCAATTGTCGGCGGAGCAATTGTCGGCGGAGCAAATGTCGGCGGAGCAAGTGTCGCTTCAGGCGGAGCAAATGTCGGCGGAGCAAATGTCGGCGGAGCAATTGTCGCGTTTTGCGGAGCAATTGACGGCGGAGCAATTGTCGGCGGAGCAATTGTCGGCGGAGCAATTGTCGGGCGGAGCATCTGTCGGCGGAGCAATTGTCGGCGGAGCAACTGTCGGCGGAGCAACTGTCGGCGGAGCAACTGTCGGCGGAGCATTTGACGTCGGAGCAAATGTCGCGGAGCAAATGTCGCGGAGCAATTGTCGCGTTTTGCGGAGTAAATGTCGGCGGAGCAATCGTCGGCGGAGCATGTGTCGGGTTACCTGTTTTATCTCTTTATTTAAAAAATGAGATTTCCATATGTTTTGTACACAAATCACAAAAATGAGCGATTTTCGGGCTGACATGCAAAGACAAAAGGACACGTGACTTTGTAATGGTAGGTCCGATTTTCGAAAAATTTCTTTCAAAAGATGCGCAAGACTCGAAAGAAAAAAGTCACAAAATTTCAGTGCAAGATTTTCTTGCGTTAAAAAATTATCGCGAAAAATGATGAGGGGGGGCTTCTAAAGCCCCCCCCCCCCCCCCAGGCTAAATAGGGTTAAGATAAACCCACATGCCTTGGAACGAAAATCAAGCTTGTTGGGATTACTAAGTAAATATCAGCATTTAAAAGAAGCATGAGTTAATTTACTTAAAATCGCCAAAAATGGATGAAAATAACTTCTTAAGAGATCCTGATATTAATCAAGGGATGCATGTATATTTCAAAGTATTTGTCTGCTATAAATGGTTAAATTTAAACATGTTTTCTGTTTTATCATTTTCGGGTACCGGTACCCGCCCGAAAATTAGGCAGGTAAACAAATTAAAGAGATGCCCCAAATTCCCAGCCTAACTAATGATAATTGTAATTTCATTCCTAGCTTTCCAAGAAGCGAGTCACAGATAAACCTGCTCCCAGCAGACCTATCCAAGGACCTGCAGCACCAGGTAGGATTTCCTCTCTCCCTCTCTCTCTCTCTCTCTCTCTCTCTCTCTTGTAACATATCTTAGTCACCAAACTATGAATCACAAGATGTGAGTTCCTGCAGCGCCTAAGTCCTTTGGCAAGGCCATAATCAATATTTTTGCCAAACTCCATCCAGGTGAAGTAAATGATCACCTGGCAGGAATGAATACACCAGTTTACGGTTGTATCAGTGCGCATGCGCAGACAGTTGACCTCGGGTCATTGGCCCTGAAACAAAGCCAATGACCTGAGGTCAGTGGTATTTATGCGTAAATTAAGATTGCGCCCATGCAAATGATGATGTGCGCGCACAATTCAGCGCGTAGGCAGTGATATCATCATAATTTGCATGGGCGCAATCTTAATTTACGCATAAATACATGACCTCTAGGTCATTGGCTTTGTTTAAAATGGCGCACACAACCGTAAACTGGTGTATTCCTTGAAATGCTAGAACGTCATAATAGCAGCCATGCTAAAGCCAGGGAAGGTATAATTATGCAGCAGGAGTGTCAAGTTTGGCAGACAACAAGCACTATACAAGAACCTAATAGTATAATTATTATTTTTGCTGTAAGATCCAAGATACAAGTTAAAATATACATGTATAATCATATGTTATAATTGATAATGGAAAAGGAAATTAACAGAAGCAAAGCTTGTGAATGATGCAGTTTCCTTTACTTTAAAATGGAAACATATATCACTACAGAAAGAATACTATCTTCTGATGTACAGTTTGTTATCAGAACATGGGGCAAATAAAGTGGGCCTTGTCAGTATTGACTAAATGTTAACAAAACAGTACTCTTTACACAGCATCAGATTCATGCCCTCCATTTCTCTACTTACTCTGGTTTATGCATACCATTATGGTTAGCATGAGACGTTATCACAAATCAACTCACAGCACCTTTTTCAGCATCCTACTGGGCCCCTGTTTGATGCTCTTCACACTGGCAAAAAAAAAAGAGTGTGAAAAGCACATTTCTCTGCCAGGTATCGAGTCCCAAATATCAAGCCAACAGACTGTGACGCCTCTTCTCATCCATAATAGAACATGTCTGGGTCTCGAGGGTAATGAGGCATGCGGGAAAGGGCCGTTCATCAACATTGTTTCTCCTGTTTGATGTTGCACGACTCTTTGACATCGAAATGTATGTTGAGAGGTAGAAGAGTGTTGAATACGATAGAAAGGATATCAGTTGACACATTTTCAGCTGTTAGCAGGCGAATGGGCTGTATATTATGCGGGTCAATTGAATCATGTGCTGGGGTTTAAATACAAAACCTTTTTTTGTTGATGTGCAGTTATGCCCCTTACCGCAGTGCTAAGAGATGTAGGCGTGGACATCACACAACCAGAGCAGGTATGTATTGCTCCACTTCTAGTATTAATGTGTCTCTATATGTGATGTGTGTTCTTAAAGTACTTGAGATTTCAAAGGTAGTTCTTTTTGTTCCTGTTCTTTGTGGAGCTTTTCAAACTATTATACATTTGTACATGTATATCTGATATTTGTACTTCAGTATATGCAATTAAAAAAATAAAATAAAAACAATTTAGTTTTTTTTTTGTTATATGACAAAATGTTTTTTTAGAACCACTGATAATATGAAGCTTAGGGCTGAATATTGTGCTACTGATACATCAACATTTACAGATTGTTCATGAGCTTCATGCATCAGAATTTTGGCAATTTGGCAGTGGCATTGTAATCAATGTGATTACTTATTGATAGTTAGATTTTGATGGATTTATCTTTATGTATGTATTTACAGGAAATGCCTCTTAAAAAGGGAGAAAACAGGTGAGTTTTATTTATTTCATGATGACCATATTACAGAGAGAGAGGGAGAGAGAGAGAAAGAGACTAGAGTTTTTCTTCCATATTTCCTATGCATCTACCAAAATGATTTCTTGTATGAACAGATAAATATTGCTGTTTCGACTTTGGCACTGAATCCTAATTTTGCTCACAAGTGCATAGGTGATTGCTTTCTAACGGGTGAAAGTATCTCTAAATTCCCTCTTCTCCATTTCTTTTTCTTTAATCAATTAACCTGTTCGCTTTCTGTATCAAACCATAGGGAATTTGAATATTCACTAATCAATGGGTTAAGAGCATTCTTTTTTATCAAGACCCTGTCTCTTTTTTTCCAATTTAACTTTAGATTGGTAATGGCATCTCTGTAAATAAGAGAATTTTGATAATAAGTCTGATCAATCTCAACTCGAAGACATGGCCGCCCCCAATGAAACAATGTGGGTTCTTTTCCACAGGGTACCGGTTATACCGCCAGCAGAAGAAAACCAGGGCCCTGCTGCCCCCCGTAAGCATTGGGGAGGTGGAGCTACCAAGGCAGCAGTCTTGGCTAACATGCCTCTAGAAGTCACAGCATCCAACATGGAAGGTATGTAGTAACCTCTATATCTCAAACATGGGATGCCATTTGCAAGACAAATTCTTAGTCTTTTGTATATGCCTAGTGAAGCAGAACAACGTATTATTAATTGCTGGAAAGCAGGACGCAACTCAAACATTATCACGATTATTCAATTTTTGTTTCTTGGATCTTGGATTCTTTTCCTCCTAAATACTCCGAAGAAGAGTTTTGACTGGAGGTGGTGGAGGTTGGACGATTACGCATACAATTTGGACGTTTCAGACGCATACAATTTACAGTAATGACAGTAAATTTACAGTAATTTTACAGTAATGACTCTTGTAATACTGAAAAAAAAGTCTTATGTTGGTCTATATATCTATAAATCTAAAGGGGAATTATTGTTACAATATTTAGTAAATGAAAACAAATTGAGGTTCCCCGGCAGTCCAGATTGACATCGCCCTGCTCTAAAATGCTACTATCTCTATGTCCTGAGACAAGTATACTTTTCGGAAAAGGTCGAAATTCATTGTATGAGATCAGACAGCATGCAACTCAAGAATTTCACTTCAAATTGCATGGCATCCATAAGGGACAATTGGAGATAGATCTCATTTATCTTCTTTTTTTTTTTAAATCTCTTCTTTCCTTCCTTCACTTTTCTACACGATAGCCACCAATGCAGGTGACATGTTAATGCCCAAGTCATCCGTTGCCGCACCGAGTGTAGAAGCCAACAGAAAGAAGTGGGGTGCTCCGGGTAATACCGTAGTCAACGCTCTGCAGATGGCAGAGATCAAAGCAGGAACCATGACCATAGCAGCAGGTGCAGTGGATGCTAAAGGTAGGAAGAGGCAGAGGCCACAATTAAGGACACATAACGCCGATCTTCATCAGCTCGAGATTGCCAAATATCCAGCTATTTCATACGTCTTCATCAGCCCGAAGTTGCAATTAGTGGGATATTTGGTCAGGATAATCATCCCAAGATATCTTGGGATAGTTTGCAAAATATCCCGCTATTTGTCCGGTGTGTCTTCACCAGCCCGAAGACTCGCACTATGCGCGAATGCTTAGCAAAATATCTTGAGCTAATTTCTCAAGGTCGAGTTTCAAGTTTCAAGGTCGAATTTCGAGCTGATGAAGACATGATTTGTAACTTTGGGATTATTTCCCAAATCAGAAATAGTGGGCTATTTGACAATCTCGAGCTGATGAAAACATGCCTATAGAAGTCGGCTCTCATGGGGAATTTTGACACCATTTGGGTTTTTACCCAATAACAGGTGTTGTCAATCATCAGGATTGGGCTTCAGTTGTATGATGAACAGGCCTTAGGTAATGCTCTGCGTTTTCCCCATATGGTAAAGTCATTATCTGACATCTGCGTCATCCGAAGACTCTGCAAGAGACAAGGGGATATTTCTTGATTGGACTACGGGTTTGCTGTGTCCTGACTTGTACATCCATTAAAGGGATCGTTTAACAATGTTAAATCTGAGATACACGGCCCTACGTGTTATCGGTGTCTGTGATATGGTGTAATATTGAAGCCCTAAAAAAATTGCGCTTGAAAATGATCAAGAAGTGCCTCAAAAAAGTAAATATCTTTGAGTGACCGGTTTTACCATACTCGTTTTCCCCAATAAACTGTAGTGTTATGAAAACCGTCAGGCGAACGGTTTTCAAAATTTGTAATTCCAATCATAAATATCTTGATAATCAGACGGGCGATCGGCTTGTAAAAGGCATGGGGTTCCTGACTGACCTAAAGGTTTATAATTATCATTGCATCATGAGCTAAATCCAGAATTTTGTTTCAGAATCTGAGACAAAGTTACCGGATCCCTTTAATTGTTTTTCCACCAAGTCTAGTGTCAGCGAATTATGACCTCTGCACATGGAATTGACGACCCTCTCCCTTTAAGGTTATAAAACATGCCATGAGCAATGACTCAAATCTCACTTTGTAAATTCAATTTTTTCCTTTCGTACCTTTTCTCGAAATTATCTCTGTAAAGGGCATATGAAAGTCATTTATGATAGCCTACTTTCCAAGATGATGTAAACATCCCAAGATTTTTCTATGAGAATTTTGTACAGATTGATTCTGAAAGTTTCATGTTGAGGAAATGTAAGGAACCAATTCTTCAGAACTTAACTTCCATACAGGCTTACCCCTCCCACTTATGCTTTTTAATCCTTAGCTTTTTTTAATGTCTGTTTGGTTTGGATGATAAATGTCGTGTAAATTTTTTTTTTTTTTTTTTTTTTTTTTTTTTTTGGTTGGGCCCCTTTACGATGGACCATTAATCATTCAGTACTATGGGGAAGAGGGAAATTCAGCAAATTTTAAGATTTAAAGGTACCTTGTCCCATTTGCAGGCAAAAAAATGAAAAGGTTAAATACCAACGGCATTTGAAAGAAAATACTAATTTAGAACTTCCCTAAAAAAGGGCACTTGAAAATGTCTTTAAGTGGAAAAATAATGACTATTAGTTGTCGAATCGACTTAGGAGCTATAGAGCCAGTAAGTAATAGTCTGATTTTTCAAACCATAGTACCGAATGGTGGTACGTTTTATGCTGCGCAAAGATTCAATCAGTTTAATTTTGGCCATTACCAGAAGTGGGTTATTGATGTAGACAAATGCTCATGTAGCCTTTACAGCTCATTTTTTCTGTATGTTATTACCAAAGATGAAAAAAAGCCAGTCAGTCACTCAATAGTGTCTGACGTGAAGTCTAGTCAGTAAACGGGTTTCCTTGCATAATTTGAATATTAGGACACTGCTAACGTTTAAATTTCACAGATAGGACATTTCATTTCATTTCATTTCATTTCTTTATTGAGTCCATATAGGATAATTGTTTATATGCACATGAACAATCTTGCTTCAACATATAAATGAACATAGGAACAACATATAATTGACATTCATAGGGCCCTGTTTTAGTATACATTTGATATAATATACATGGTCATGATGAATATACATTTAAATACTCTTTCTTCTTCTTCTTCTTCTTCTTCTTCTTCTTCTACATACATGACATATTCATAATTCCTGCAAAGTTCTACAGAATTTGATGTTGGCTGCAAAAGGGACATAGTATCTTTAAGTTTTCTTTTCACTTGAATCTTCCCGCTTCCTGTTCATCCAGGAGAAACCCAGCTATTGAAAGGGCCTGCAATGTACGACAGAGGCAGCCCAATGGGCGTGACAGTCATCAAGGAACAACCAATGAGCCCTAGGGAAAAGATCCCCATCGTCAAGGACAACATGTGTGTCGTAGATGGGAAGCAGTCAGGTGACAGCAAAGAAGCAGGTAAGGAGGTCATGTGATCATACAAAGACAACCCAGATTGACACTTTTGCAAATACAAAGTGAAGTGAAAGGGAAATTTGTCCGTGGAATAATGCTGTACTGATATGTTTTCAAAAGGTGATGACCTAAAAATACAAATTCATAGTGGTATTGAGCTATATGTGGTGGTTGTTATTTTACCTGACTGCTAAGAAAGCATAAATGCTTGTAAAGTAAGCAACCAGGTGGCCAACGGCTTTAGCTCCTCTCCGAGGGACTTGGTAATAAGGATTAATGCCTTACCAAAGGGCACTAGCACATCGCCTTGGCTTCGAACCCGGGTCACCGGATTACGAGTCACCGGATTACGAGACCACTGCTCTACCGACTGAGCTATCGCACATATACCTTGTGATACACAGGGAACAGCACGATACCATATTCAACACTTTTTACTTTAATTTCAATTTTGTAACTAATACCAAATATGAGCTGAAGGAGCACCATCAACACTTCTCTTTAAATATTTTGATTTTTGCTTGTTTGTGGATAAACTGTTTCACAGTGAGGCGTGATGGCTCAGTGGTAGAGCAGAGGTCTCATAACCGGGAGAGCTGGGTTCTAAACCAATTTGATGTCCTATAGTGCCCTTTGGTAAGGCATTCATTCTCATTATCAAGTCCCTCGGAGAGGACTAAAAGCCGTCGGCCGTCTGGTTGCTTACTTACAAACATTTATGCTTCTTAGCAGTCGGGTAAAATAACCACCACCATTCATTCATTCATCCATTCATCACACAAAGACAACCCAGAATGACACTTTTGCAAACATAAAATGAAGTGAAAGGGAAATTTGTCTATGGAATGAAGCTGTACTGATATGTTTTCAAAAGTAATAACCTTTAAATCATAGTTGCATCAAGCTATATGTCGCACCTATATCTTGTGATACGCAGGGAACTACACGATACCATATTCAATACGTTTCACTTCATTTTCAATTTTGTAACCAATCCGTTGGTCCCCTGGTTGCTTTCGTTTAAGCATACACATGCTTTCTTAGCATTCAGGTAAAATAAACAAACCCGCCGACCAAAAACCAACCAATATTCACAAACCAGTTTACTTAGAAAGAACAGAAATGTTCCGGTGAGCAAGGAATAACTCTCAAACTAATTTTGTCCATTCAGCTGATCTTGAAACCATTGATGCCGAGAATAAGGAAGATGCCGCCAAACAGACTCCTCCCTCTCCCTCTAGACCAGCTTGGAAAGCAGCATCATCATCATCACCTAGCAACCAAACACAAATAGGTAAACAAATCTCTTTTTCTCTTGAGAGTATATAATAAAAATGAAAAGTTTTGTCCATTGTATTGTTCTGTAAGGACCATATGACCTGCCATGATTCCAGAATGGGACCATAGTCTTGGTAAATGTTGCATGTATTATATTTTCTTTAGAAAACATAATGGCCAGACCGCAGCATGTATGCTTATGAAGCTTACAGTGAAGATATATTCAGCATCTCGATCACGAGCTTTACCCAGCTGCAAAAGCATATCATGTACTTTTGGTTTACCAACATTCCAGTGAACAAAATGTGTCAAATCGAAATTTGATGCACAGTCGTATTCTCGAGAAAAAATTGATAAGAATTTAGCCTTAATAATAAGAAATGTATGGGTTTAAAACCAGAATTAATCACTTAAATTAATTCAAGCTGGTGCAAAATTTTGTTATTGCACAAAGTTTTGTTTATGTAATGACGTGGTTGCCTCTCTTAATCAAAATCATGCACGTGAAATGAAAACGGGGTGTACATTCCTCATGATAATTGGCTGAAACTTGTCCAATTCAGACTCTGCACCCAAAATGCAAGGCTCTCCTAACCAGAAGGATCAACTGCCTACTTCAACTACAAAGGACAGCCCTAAATCAAACTCTACCCCTCCAAGGCCCACCCCTGATGCTGAGGCCCCTCCTACAACTGACAAAGCCACGCCTCCCAAGAGTCCAAGGCCCAGTACCTCACCCCCGTCAGTGAAAACCTCCCCTCCTTCAGCCAACTCACCATCATCGTCACCGCTAGCAAAGAGCCCAGCAAAGACTGATGAGGAGAAGGAAGAAGAGAAAATCTCCCAGGAAAAGAAAGGTAGGTACATGTATATCTCATGTGAAATCATATGAAAATTAAATTATGGAAATCTGTCTTTAATTCATTGATATTCATTTCAGTGAAATGCAACATTTCTTATCAAGTTTTTTTTTGGACAAAAAACCTTGACTGGAATTGTTTACAAACAAGTCCTCTTTTGAAAACTTTGATTAATGTGTGAATCCTGGGAATATGATTGTATAATATTGTTATACTTTTATTTATTAATAGTGAATATAATTTGTCATCTTATCTTTAGATGCTGATGCTGTTCAACTAGATGAAGAAGATGAGGATAACCAAGACATTAAAGAAAAGTAAGTTTGCATTTTTACTGCAGAATGTAGCGTACTTCTACATCAAGTATTTTTTAAAATTAAATTTAGCACAAGAATGCAAATGTGATTCATACTTCAAAACGGACACACACCACAAAATATGACAAAACTCAGATGCCTTTTTTTTGAGAGAGAGAGAGAGAGAAATAGGAAAGGATTCCTGAAAGCACGTGCATCTGTTGGGTACGTCTAATACACAGTATAGTACAATATTATGTGTATACATATGCAAACTTAAAATAGAATTTAAATCACCTGGAAAAAGAGGAGAAAAGAAAGAGAGGAGAGAAAGAAGAAGATAGAACCTTTTAATCAGTGTATTCCTAATCAGTACATGCTAGACCCTAGCTGGATGTTTCAGAAGATTAGAAGAATAAAAAGGTGGAAAGTGAGCTATGGAAGGTAGAGGCCATTCATGCCTCATCCTGTTAAAGAACCAGCTAACCACCCCACAGTTTTGATCTCTTTCAATAATCAACCCTCTTTTCTGCAACATAAAAGATAATATCATTATCAGAATATTGTCCCTTGACTTGAGGGCAGCTTTAGATATGAATCATTCTGTATGTTTGATTGATATCTTCTAGGTCTGCCAAGAAGAAAATGATTGCCGGCCTGTCAACGGGTTTCTTTGATACAGCACCAAAGGTAAGTGATCTCCTGGTACATGCATTTTGAAATTAGAGTCAGACATTTGCAAGGGATATGAGAGGTAGTTGATCAAAATGAGTCCTTAATTGGTATGGGAAACATGACAAACATGGAAATAACCTCTTGTTGAAATATTTGTCACACTAATCAAAATTGAAGAGATTCCCATGCCTTGCAGAGAATGCTTGACTATGTAACAGTCTATGATCCTTAAAACAATAATATTTAATAATTCTTTAGATTTATATTCAGATGGATTTCATGTACAGGCTCCTTAATCAATGCTTCAAAGAGCAACCATGGTCGATGGACAAAAATAGGTCTTTATAGGCAGGTACACTTTCTATACAGTTGGTTGCTGGTTTGAATGTACAGTTGTTGCGACCAACTGTTATAGAAAGACCACCTGTATATACATTGTAAAGACTAAATTTTTATGCCTCCGCTACAAAGTAGCCGGAGGCATTATGTTTTCGGGTTGTCCTTCCGTCCGTACGTCCCATTCTCGTGATTGCGTTATCTCAAGAATCGATTGGTTAATTCCCGCCAAACTTAAGTCATGTATGTATCTCGCAGAGCCAATGAACTGATTAGATTTTGGGGTCACAGGGCTTATTATATATGCGAAAATGGCTTGTGATCGCGGTATCTCAAGTACCGATTAATGAATTCCTGCCAAACTTAAGTCATGTATGTATCTTATACAGCCAATGAATTGATTATATTTTGGGGTCACGAGGTCAAAGGTCACAGGGCTCATTATGTATGCAAAAATAGCTTGTGATCGCATTATCTCAAGAACTGATCGATGGATTCCTGCCAAACTCAGGTCATGTATGTATCTTGCAGAGCCAATGAACTAATTAGATTTTGGGGTCACCAGGTCAAAGGTCACAGGGCTCTTTATGTATCCACAAATAGCGTGTGATCGCATTATCATGAGAACCAATAGACGATTACTATCAAACTCAAGTCATGTATGTATCTTGCAGAGCCAATGAACTGATTAAATTTTGGGGTCACCAGGTCGAAGGTCAAAGGTCACATGGCTCATTATGTATGCCTATAAATAACTTGTGCATGCATTATCATTAAAACCGACGGATGAATTACAATCAAACTTGAATTTTTAAAATTGGTTCTGTTTTGGTTTGTAATATTGCTCTACGGCGGAGGCATCATTTTCGATCTAGTTTCATTTCCCTGGATTAGAGTTTCTCATTGAAACCTGTATTAAAGGAACCTGTACGTAAAACCACCTGCCTATATAGGCCAATTCATGTTTCCCTCGAGTGGTCTTTATATACAGGTTTCACTATCATATCTCTTTGAATTGTCATTGTTAGCTGTTGAGGACGTGTTCTGATCCGGACCTTAGACAGCTGTTCCGTACTACCCTTGCCCTCAATCCATTCTTTGAGGCGGATCAGAAACGTGTCGCTCAGAGTGTTGACACTGCCCTCAATGACCAGCATGATGACGACGATGATGACGATGATTTGGCGATCGATGATGACGAGGATGATGATGATGATGAAGAGAGTGATGAGCTTATTCGACAACTCCAGAACCTGACAGCTAAGAATGAGGAGGATGAAGAGGAGGAGGAAGAGAAGGAGGAGGACGACGAAAATGAAGAAGATGGAGTGTATGTACTTTACAATTTAGTATTACACTAACGTTTTAAAAAAATTAATTAAATTGATATAAAAAGCAAATGATTTTTCTAAGTTTGATTTCCATTACACAGCTCTCAACCTGTTAAAAATACAATGATATTTGATTTGAGAAAACTTCATATGCTTTAATATGAATTGCATTTATCCAGTTGTGTTCATAGAAACTGTATTTGATTGTAGCTTGCTATCATTCATTGCTCAAATAGTATTGTAAATAATTTGAAAAGTACTTTTTATAGATATCTATGACCTATATTGCAGTGACTCAATTTTCAAACTGGACTAAAATTATATGTGAAATAGATAATGGTAGATTATTTCTACGAATTGTGACATTGATTTTGGAAGAATCTGTCAGCTTTTGGTGACTAAGGTCTTTTGTAGCGAGGTTAGGTTCACCCTTAAATATTTTGAAAGTTACAAAATGGATAGATAAATAGATATTGAGATGCTGTCGCTGCGTTACAGGAAGAACAGAATGAGACTCGGTTTATGATTTCTCCTTTACAGGGAAGAAGATGTAGATGAAGATGAGGAAGAATACCAGAGTCTTGTTGAGTCGATGAGAAGTGTACTGGAAGCAAGAGGTAAGAAGACATCTTTCATTTTACTTGTAGTAAAATCAATCCAAAAAGGGAAAATAATAAGCAGACAAACAAACAAAGCAGGGAAAAATCAAACAAATCAAGACAACAATCTTTGAGCGGAAAAAGGTGGATGATAACAGCTTTTTGTTGTTTACAGAAGTCTTATAACAGTTTAAAACATGTACCAGTAAACAGAAACAAATTTACCATTTACAATCCATATTGATGATTTTTCTTGAAATTGTCTTCTATGATTGAGCAAACACTTAGGGATAGATACATCAATTGAATTGTGAAACTTCCCTTTAAAATGTTAAATATTACCTTCAAACAAATATTAAAGTGGTCATAAATAATCTCTTCCAAAACAATATTTTGAGAAAGTATGTACATACATGTACATGTAATATTTTTGATGGTTCTAGATCTATGTAAGACATACATATACATGTTGATGTGATGCAGTATTTTTTTTTTTTCTCCTTCTCTCTTCCCAGATGCTTCAGACTCACCTAAGATGAGACGGAAGAAAGATGAAGAAGAAGAGAAGAGTCCTGGAGGAGCATCTAATGGATCCTCCCCATCATCACCATCAGGGAGCAAAGACGATGAAGATGAGGAGGAGGATGAGGATGATAAGGAGAATTCTGGCCAGAGCAAGCCAATTAATGAGGACTGGGACTCAGGTAATAATAATAATGTATTTATTTTCCATAAATATGTTCAAATAGGTTTTACAATTATGTTATTAACAGAAGAGGTGAGTTTTCAGACATTTCTTAAAAGAATTGAGCGATTACTGGTTGCAAAGAATTATGTGTAGGTTATTCCACAGTTTTGGAGCAGCAGTTGTGAATGCTCTGTCACCAATCGTAAGTAGCATCTTGATAATTACGAGTTCTGATAGGTACAGTAGGGAGGAGCCAGACCATTGATGCAATTGAATTTGAGAAGAATTGTTTTGTAATGAATTTAGAACCCAATGGGTAGCCAGTTCAATTGACTTGGGTGAACCTTTTTTTTTGAATAGCTATAATTTCTCAAGATGGGTTGCAGTGGCATCATAGAGTAGACCATTGCAGTAATCTAAGCGGCTGGTGATGAAGGCATGGATAATGAATAACCTCTGGTCTAGATACTTGCAAATTCGACGGATATTGGGATCCCTAAAACTCTGATATTCACATGCAATTCTGTCCAATAATTTATGTCCTACAGCCGTATTTTAAAATACACACACATAGCCATGTGAATGAATACTCTTATAGGCCTCGTTGAGAGCTATTTTTTTTACCTCACTTTCCTCTTTTTTAAATGTAAAATGGTTATATTTTGCCGAGGCATTTAAAAAAAATTGGTTAACTATGTTGTGTCTTAACGGAGCTTACTTAACAATTCTTTTCTTGGTTTCTGATCGTAGGTGAAGGAAGTGAAGGTGAAGAGAGCGGGATGTCCGCTGAGGAGAGAGAAAGCGTCTACAGTCGTTTAGAAGAGTCTAGACTACAGCTAGAGAAGGAGCTTGGATGCGACACATTCCTCAAAGCATACAAGTCAATACAGGTCAGTCTCTAGTCTTGTGTGTATGGTCTTTTACTATTCTCCTTAGTTTATACAACTTGCTCATTCTTTTTTATGTGTATTCGTTTTAAAAAAGACAAGGCCTGGCTATATAAGAAAAATAATTGTAAATATTTTGGTACAATTCTTGGTTTCGAAATTTGGGGTTGAAGATCTATTTTTCTTTGCAGATGCTTTGCACATTGATAGTCACTTCACCATTATTTGAGTGCAGTATCTACAAGACTATACAAGACAAAGTCGTCAGACATTTATTTTTGGTCTATTTCATGTCTGTCTTGGAAATCTCAGCATTAGCCACGTGTTGAAAGTTGACAATACTTAAAAGTACACATTGGACCTTGCAGACTATGTGCAAAGAAGTTGAGCTAATTTTGCAAACATTCTGATCACTATCAGTTATGAGATTGTGTCAAATTGGCCACACAATGGTTTGGATTAGGTAGGAAAGGCACTGCCTGTGCATGTTCTCAACCCACAGCACTGTATGTGAAAGAGTAACTTTGGTGTCCTGTTACGCTTAAGCAGGGCTCCCACTTAGCCGAGTTGGAGCCTCGAGTTGTGGCAAGCTGGCTTGATCTTATGGCAAGCCGTTTTATCATTAAAACATATTTCTTGACATCAAGAAATCAATTCTTGATATCAAAAAACTATTTTACGTTGTAAAGCAATGGTAATTCGTGATAACAAGAATTCAATTTTGTGATATCAAGAAATATGTTTTAATGATAAGTCTGCTTGCCATAAGATCTAGCCAGCTTGCCACAACTCGTGGCTCCAACTCTGCCAAGTGGGAGCCCTGCTTTAGACATTCCAATCAGTTATCATACCTGCCAACCACCCCGATTTAGGCGGAGTTCCTCCGCATTTTTCATACCAACTCCGAATTCCGAGTGCATGCCTCAAAACTCCGATTTTTTTAAATTTTAAAATATTTTTAAAACAACGACTGTTGCATAAGACTAAAGCATAACACAGCACATGATAACCAGATCACGCCGACATCCGCGCTCGCGCTCGCGCTCATATAAGATATACACAGCGCAGCCCGAACGTGATCGTTAGTTCCGTGTACTGCAGTCACTATCCACGTGTGCAAGCTATATCGATAAAGTGTGTGCGGACGTTGTACTAATACATACACGTACACTACATGCAGCGTTGTTGCATAGTAACTGCATGCGTATAACCCACGTGTATTTATATTACATGTGCAGTTAATACACCGTGCATAAACACTGTATACATTGGCGTGTTTTCTTCAATGCTTGTGCGATGACTGCGATCGTGGAAGCTTGTTATTTACCGGACTTCCTCGGATTTATTTTGGATTAACACTACTATATACCTTTGCAAAATAGGGCTCCTAACTGAGGTGGGTAGTGAAACATGTAGTTTTGTGAGTGTTCACATTTTGATATTTCAAAAATTGTTTATATGTGGGGCGAAAAGGTTGAAGGAAAAGGCCCATTTGCACCATTAAAATGGAGAGAAAAAAAATAGACCCTAAAGTCCTGTGTACCCCAATCCTTCGGTGGTTCGCGACCTCGTAGTCCATCCAGAAAAATTTACTCCTAATTTCTCTTGTCTCAGGTTGGCAGGTATGAGTTATGTCAGGAGAGACCTCAGGGTTATAGTGATCAACCCATTGACTACTGAATTCATTTATTGCCATAGGCTTAACACGTGGGCAACCCGGTACCTTGAAGCAAGGGTTAAGGGCATCGTTAAACAATTTTTCCAGTTTTACAAATCTGAGATGCATGGCCCTACGGGTTATCAGTGTCTGTGATATGGTGTAATATTGAAGCCCTAAACAAATTGCGCTTCAAATTGATCATGATCTTTGAGTGACCGGTTTTACCATACTCATTTTCCCCAATAGACCGTAGTGTTATAAAAACCGTTGTGAAAACTTTTTTTGAAATTTTGATTTCCAATCATAAATATCTTGATAATCAGACAGGCGATCGGCTTGTAAAAGTCATGGGATTCCTGACAGACCTAAAGGTTTATAGTTATGATTGCAGCATGAGCTAAATCCAGGATTTTTTTTAGAATCTGAGGCAAAGTTACCCATTTAACATTTTAATATCGCTTTTCCCTTCCCAGGTACAGGTGATGGTAATACAATCAAAACCTGTCTACAGTGACTGCCCAAGGGAAACACAAAAAGTGGTCTTTGTAGACAGATTCCTTTAGTACATGTTTCAATGAGAAACCATTTTCAAGGGAAACAAAAAAAAAATGTGGTCCTTGTAAACAGGTAGTCTTTGTAGACAGATGGTCTCTATTAACCCATAGAATGCCATGAGGCTGCATGCATGCTACCGTTAAAGTGCTTTGTACATGCGAGCAAACCATTGCTATGCTGCCGTGTGCCTCCAAAGGCGCATTCGTAATAGCAATTATTGTTCATGCTTATTGGACTGGGCTGTGTGTTTCACACTTGCTATTCATAGAATCATCGCGTTAATCAGATTATCTCCAAAACAAACTGGCACGGGGGGGGGGGGGGGGGGGGGGGGGGGGGGCTTGGCACAATGGGGATTAGCCCTGTGGCATGATAAAGAGTTAAAAGCAGGTTTGACTGTAATGTTTCCTTCCTTTGTCTACCTTTACTGTTTAGGCAATGCATGAAGATGAAGATGAGAACATTGAGGAAGGAACTAAGCGTGTGAGCACCATCCTCGGAGAGGGCAAAGGTCAAGTATATACCAAGATCCTCCAGCTTGTCATGGCTGACGGAGCATACACTGAAGGTAAGAACCAACAATAGAGGGCTCACTTTGGGTGTTAGGATTAACACTTAAAGATTATAGGTATACAGTTTTAGTGAGTTGTTTTCCTAATATGGGTTCCCCCTTTTTTGTAACTTGTAATTCTTTGTTGTCTTGTTCAAATTCACCCCTTCCATACTTTGACTTCTTGCATTTGATACCTAGTGTCTCTATCCCTCCTCCCTCCCTTCCTCCATTCCTCACTTTCTCCCTTCCTCACTCCATTCCTCCCCCCCTCTCTCTCTCTCTCTCTCTCTCTCTCTCTTTATTTATTGTACTCCTGATTAGTACACCTTGTTCTAGATTTTTCTATTCCTGAATCTCTCTTTTTTTCAGACATCTGCTGCACGTAATACAGGCATTTATTTTGTTGTTCCTGTCGTTGTATTTTCCAGCACCTGGTATTGTGCTAGTTTTGTGCAGTGAGAAGTTCACCTGCATTGTGATAACAAAACAACACATTGTCGTCTGACCCCCGAATTGCTGTCACATTTAATCTCTTGGTCTGATCTCATTTGCATGGCGTTATTCTTAGTTGAACATTATAAAAGTGTTTAAAAAAGGATAGTTAACATAATTATCAAAATGATTTCAAACATAGCCTCTATCCACAATAAACCCTCTGTTTGTTACTGATATTTTACCAGATGTTCAACTTATATTTCTTTAGGAAAATGTGAATTTGAGGATTTATTGAAAATGAATAAAATGAAGAGTTCCCCAGTGTGATTTGAGTATTATTAGTTTGATGTAACTTAGTTTCAGTGTCATTGTGTCGGTGTTCAGCATTCAATGATGTTATTGAATTCGAAATGCTTATGTAAGATCATAATTTCAATAGTAATGTAGAATAATTATACATTATTATGTCTGATATTCTGCAATGTTTGGATTATACAGTTACATCTGTTTTTTATAAATCACTCTGTTATTATGAAATTTCTTTTAGAGTTATTTCATTAGCATGGCATTAATTTTTTTTTTGAACATTATAAAAGTGTTTTCAAAAGGCTAGTTTACATTTCCCAAAACAGTTAGGAGTTGATGTGTGCGTTAATCTGTTACTAATAGTTTGAGAAAAAAAAAGCTTTGGAAATTCACAGTTAAAATCATTATTATACTCTTGGGTGAAAAGATGTCGCTGTCTTATGATATTAAAATACATATTTTATTTCCCTTTTGGAATGCATGCAGAAAATATGATTTAATACAAGAGTTGTTTTTACAGTTACTTCACGTAATCTTCCAAATAAACTTATAAAGAATTTTTGAAAATATTTTGCCTTATTTCATTTTATTGACCGAAAAAGAAGCTTTTTCTCATATTTTACACAATACTGTAAGACACTGTTGAACTAACTGCCTGTATTTATTCTTGTTTATGTTTATAGATCATGATTAACTCCTCACGATTGAGATGCAACTACTCCAAAATAAGTGCATGTAAATATTTGATTTGCATTTTTTTTAATAATACAATATTTTTTTTTTTTAGGGGCATCTAATCATGATATGATTACATAATTCTCCATTTTGCTCTTTTTGTTGTTCTTTCGTACGGCATGAAAAATAGCGTTAAAGAACCAGAAAAACTAAACAATCCACTGCATGTGACTGTAATCATCATCAACATCACGACGATCATCAACACCATCATCATCATCATCCCGCTATCCTGCACCCTTTCATCTGTATACCAATAAATCCTACATGTACCTCATCGATCCTTCACTTAAAAGAATTATCCATTCAACTGACTCTTTTGGAGACTTGTTAAAATGTACATATTGATATTGCATAAAATTGGATTACAGCATGCAAAACTATGAAATCATGACAGCCAATGAAATTGATGATGTAAGACAGCACTTATTTTAAGATGAATTTGGAAAGAGATCCAATTAAAGGAAAAGTCCATCCTGATAATTGGCTGGTATTATCAAAATCAGAAAAGCAAGAGAAACAAATGGATGAAAGTTTGAGCAATATCCGTTTAAAATCAGGAAAGTTACAAATTGGCAACACCGTGACGTACCATGCGAGCCCCTCTCCAATTTGCTCTGTACAGAAAATTTCATTTACGACTTACGCACAAGTCGAAGTTTGCCTAAGTCTACACATTTCGCTCAGTCCCGTAAAGGTCGAATTAAGCAAGGTTGTCTGTATTCTAGTTTAGTCTATACTTTTAGTAAGGCATTATTATTGTTGTATTAAAGAATGCACGTCTCACACATGGTAACAGTTTCATTAAGTAGTGGTATATTAGGAGAGTATTATAATAGCATCTTGTGGAAATGTTAAAAGAGAATGGTTATATGGGAAAAGACTAATTTGCTCATAGGTAATCACATCTCATCTCGGCTTGTTTACTATGCCTAAAATGTTGTTGGGATTATATTATATGGTGATATTTGAGATCACTAGGTACATGTAGCTGCACATGGAGCACTTGTTTACCAGGTAATGGAAATGTCTGGGGCAATTTTGTTGTGTGTGGTTAATGATTAAGAATAGATAATTATGTTTGTTTTATTTTGTCAGTATGGAGCATTCATTTATGGTTCAAGCGACATACTAATGCTTACTTTGGTTCGTTGGGTACTAACCTTGTTATGTGTCACTAATAGAAAAAGTGTAAATTGTACTCTGGACATGTATGTGTATATACAGGTGAAATCATGGTTTTATTTGATCTAATGAAATATTCTCAAAATGTTTAATCATGCCTATTATATTGTCATATGAGTAGTAATACAAATTACAGCATAGTATGTCTATGATCATGTAGAAACCTTTATGTAACATTATATTGAAAAGTTATATAATGAGCTTTGTAAAATCGCTTGTAGATATATGCAGATATCAAAGTTTTTGCTAGGTCGCAAATCATATGTAAATCACCATTTGTCAACACATCTCAATGATCAATGTATCACCCGTCTCTCTTTCCCAACAGATAATGATGAATGAAGATGAGAAAGCAAGAAAATAGCAGAGAAAAAGACTCCTGGAAAGAAATTGTAAAGGAAACCACTATCAGGTGACCTTGTAAATCTTGTTAATGGACAAAACTGTCAGGTGACATGATACCATTGTCAGGTGACCATGTACAGGGAATGGATGTCAGGTGACATTGTGCCGATGTCAAGTTACCATGTAAAGGGAGTGAGTGTCAGGTGACTTTGTACTAATTGTCAGGTGATGCACATGTAAGGTTCCATATTGAAGTTGGTTCATTTGATCATGCCGAAGGAAGAAAAGAAATTGATTGATGAAAAATATATATTACGCAATATGCTGTAGAGTGTAGTCAGCCTTCCTATAAAAATGTCATTCTGTAGATTTTTAAAAGAGTAATTGGAAACTCTGTTAAATATTCATGCCTGTGTTCTTATGGTGTCACTAGCATAGAAAAAGAACATGTTGTGCACCGTAAACAGTCAAAGATGAAAGAGAGATATATCAGGTAAACCAAGGAAAAGCCTTTTATCTCAAGGTATACAGCATTTTTATTATTTAAAGAATGTACGTCTCGCCCTTGGAACATGTTCATTGAGATTTTGTGGTAGGAGAGTAATTATGATAGCATCTTGTGGAAATGTTTTTATCTCAAGTCAAGTGATGAAGAATATTCAATTCATAATTTGCGGATAGTACATATGTATGAATAATTAGGATCATTTGTATATGTTTGCCTTGTACAGGTGTAGTAAAAAAAAACGATTGTTGTGGAATGTGTGCATACATAGAAGAGTTAATAATTTCAGAGGGCTTTCTTTATGTATGTTAGGTTTATTTGCCAGTGTTTACTTGGGTGGTGATTGGAAATGGAGTTTGTGAGTATTAGCAGCCCCCCCCCCCCCCCCTGCTCTGGAGTCGAAATCACCGCATGCGTGTTACCAAAATGTCCGGTAAAGGGGTACTTTTCACGCATCAAAGTCCGGCTCGTACATATACAAAATTGACTTTACACACCGGACTTAGAGGGTGTTTTCACAAGGAGGGAACACGCATATGCGTACCCTAAATAACACTGAGAGGGGGGGGGGGCGGGATTAGCAGTCGCATTTGTAACATAAAATTACTGCAACAAATAACACAACAGTAGTAGCAATACCCATATTTTGTAGATGGATTTTATCTTGCCCTGCGATAGGATCAACAGTATACATGAAAATATTGTTAATGATGTACAGAGCAGATAGGTTTTGCTCTTGAATATTGTGATCCTATGTTGAGTCTAGAGTTGGGTTGAGGAACATAGTAAGTTTGCGGTAATACTAATAGTCCTGTTTCAAAGTTCTTGCACTAGGGTATACCACTGAATTACATGAATGTCAAATATACTTGTCCTTTTCAAACTATTAGAAACCCTCATGTGTTGCGATAATCAAGCTCTCCAAAAGTCTAGAATACTAGACACAAAACCTCACCATATTGTTTAGAGTATAGCAATTCTCTCCTCTTCACGATATGGCATCTATTGCAAACTTCATTTTGCAAAGCATTATATTGATTATGAATGGATTATTTAGAAATTGTTGTAATATATGTGTGTGTGAATTTATTTAGTATGCTTGCATAATGCTGGAGCTAGGAAGAATGTGCTCAATTATCGTCATCTCGCATGTACATTTCGGACGTGTGCTGGTCCATTACATAATATTTCTTTTAAAGTATCTTTTTTGTGTATATTGTGCAAATGTAATTCCTCCGTCCTCTCTTTACATTTATCAATAGTATTTGTATCTTTTGCATTCCAATAAAGTAATGATATTGATTAAGGTTTGACCAGTGAAGAATGTTGCTTGTAAATCAAAGTACTACTAAATGTGATACATACAAGATTTGCTTGATTTGGATTTAACCTGTCATGTCTAGAAAAAAAAATAGTACATATGATATGTAGCTAAAGTTATATGATCGTTTATTAAACCAGTAGTGCACCAATTGTTTTTTTCTTGCTGTACTGATGTGAATGTAGAGTAAAACAGTACTTGTAATGACCTAGGTAATAAACAGTACTTAAAAGACGTCAAACCTGTAACACACTAGATGGTTTTAAAAAGATTAGGAGAGAAGCCTCACCCTGTATTCAAATATATATGTATTCATTAGAATTTTATTCATTTTAGTGGAAATAGTCTCCCATTCTGTCATTTGTATCTGAAAGTGTAAGGAGTATTCCCTTGACAATTTAATTTGCTTTACTTTGTTAATTTTAAATAGCAGCTTTACTCTTTCATGGACCTTACACCCTGCATGCATTAATTGTTGCTGTGTCAGGCAAGCCTTGGGGAAGGCCATCAAGACTATCGTATCAATAGGTAAATGTAAAATATGAATAAAGTGGTGAATTTGATTTAATTATTTGGATGAACTCATCTGTATAGTTTTTTAAGGTATTCGTAACTTCATATAGTGTAAATACGTATAGCATGTATTTGGATAGCATACTTGAATATACTGTTTGGATAATGCTGCTGTAAAGTTTATAGTTCAGTAAATGTATTCCTACATTGCATACTTGTATTCAGATAGAATTGTATTCTAGATAACACTGTCAAACTTTGTAGGTTAGGATTCATGTAGGGTATAACATGCTGGTCAACTGTATACATGTACAAACAAAAATTGACCAATGCAGAACTCTCCCACTCCTTGGGAATGTGCTGATAAATATGGCAGCTTCATGAAGGTATATGTACGGTATACAGATTCTAACGTTTTGTTAGCGTCAACAATCACCCTTGATTGCTTTCACATTGAGCATTGTTGACCGGTCATGTAATGAGCCTTGTTCATACATGATCAAGGTTAAAACGCTTTCAGGACAGGATTTATATTTAAGGCTAAATTGATCGCATATTTTTCTTCAAATGGGCAACACTGATATTTGTGTTTTATTGCTACATTTGATATCTCCAAGAACAAATAACATGGACGAGAATATGTCGAGAAGTTGGAAGAAAAAAATTATCAATTTTGATAGAAAAACAATGACTTTGAATATCTCAACGTTTTAAGCAATTTAAGGATTATAAAGCTTAATGTTCTTTTTGAAAGTCCTAGTATTAAACACGGTAGTCATGGACCAAGAATGTATGCTGTGTGTGTGCAGAAATGTCTGCCCTTTCTTCCCTTGCATGTGGTATATTTTTTAGGGCTCTTAATCAAGTTATTGAGCCAAACCTCAAAATCTGCAATGATCGTCTTGAAGGGGTCGATTGCCACAAAATACCGGTACCCCTAACCACAGGTATACCTATCTGTGCATTACCAGATACAAAGTTGTATGTTCATTATGTTACATAAATCATTCCATAGAGAGATTATATTTCATTTCATTAGATGTACTTAGTCTGTACTGTGTAGTCCTCAAGCCCTACGTACTGCATCAACCTCCTAGTCCATTGAAAATTGTCCATTTTTATAGCCAAAGATATATCTCTCGAGGCCCAGTGTTAATTGTTAATTGTGATAATTGTGAACTATAACTAATACAGTCAAACCCGTCTATAGAGACCGCCCAAGGGAAACATCGAAAAGTGGTCTTTATAGATAGGTTCCTTTAGTACATGTTTCAATGAGAAACCATTTTCAAGGGAAACAAGAAATGTGGTCTTTGTAGACAGGTGGTCACTAAAGCAGGTCTGACTGTACATGTAGATATTATAACTGCCCAGTATTGTGATAATTGTGAACTTAAGTTGATAGACATTTTTCCTCAGTAATAGGGACTTTAAGATTTGCGTGGACCAATACGTGTGACGTCCATTCAAGGCAGTGCATTAGAAGGACGTCGATGGTAGCAATCCACGTTGTCGTTGTGCAAATCTAAAAGTTCCTAATGTCATTTTGACTGAGCCGTGGGACTGATTATTCCAGTCATCTGTGTCTATGTTGAAGGGTGATGAAGTGTTCCATTGGAAAGTGTACTTACAATCTTCAGCATGTTCAATGTTCCCCATCTCTTTCTATGCATCTGTTAATTAGACATTCTTCAATAAATGAATACATGTATCCATAAAAGCAAAATATTTGTTGAAGCATGCTTTAATTCAGTCAGTGTGTATGCCATTGGTGTATTTATTTATTTTTTCCCTTTTTTTCTTCAGCCTGGCAATAAAAAAGGTACATGTCACGTATTCCAAAACTTTAAAAAATGTTTTTAAAGTGGGGGTGTTTTTTAAATGGGACAGGAGGGACATGGACTGGAAAACAAGAATGAAAGCTGATTAAAAGAAAGAAGAAAATAGTTTGCCGTTACGGAGATTATAACACACTTTCATTTGCTTGAAGAGAAACACTGCTGCAGATTACACATCTTTTCATACAGGTATACAATGTAGTTGTTTGTCTTAAAAACATGTTTATTCGTTGTTTCAAAGAAGATTCAACCGTCTTGCAAACAAAATAATGTCTTATAATTACCTTCTTTCTTTAATTAAAATTAATGATTACTGAAACACAGTTTTCAAAACAATTATGTTTGCTTCAACATTTTAAAACAGTTATCTACTACAACATTTATTAGTATTTTGTATTGCTTTAAATAGCTTTGTAAAGTGCAAAAGTCCTTAGAAATAAACTACTAAACCAAGGTATAATGCAATTTTACCCGTTTTGTAGTAGTATTATGGATATCCCGCCTCTTCTTTCTGGCACGTACACCCCTTGCACTGCTATCGCGAGTTAAAAAAAGGTCTCAAATCTCAATGACAGCATAACTAAGAGAGGTATGACTTCATTAAAAACAAGGTGTAAAACAATAAGTACAACACACCGAAGCATCTTAATCTAAGTAACGGCACGATTTTAAGAAAAGTTAATGGTGCAGATAAATACACAAGAAATATGTACAGCCCAAATCGAGCAATCATTTATAAAACTGAGCCTTCGCCAATTAGGCATCCATTTTAAGTATGCATCTATAGGGCAAATAAGATGAGGTCAAGTGACAACCTGTCAGGCAAGATCAAACTTTGAGAATGTACAATTTTGGGGGAGGGGTCGTCTTTTATCGATTTCTGTTTATTGATTATAATAACATTTGGGAATGTGCCTAATAAGAGTATAGACTTATATAGCTGGGATTTATGCACTATGAAAGCCTATAAACATTGGGGGGATGTTTACATAGACCATCCCCCTTGGTCAATCCCCCCCCCCCCCCCCTTCCCTGGATCTCCGCCTATGGCTGCTGATGCCCGGCCATCTGCTGCTGTGGTACAGACTGACCAGCAA